AGCGTCCCTAGAGGCCACAAGCTCCGCAGCAATGTCGCAAATTAAATTCAACAAACAGTGAACCGGTCAGCCTCCCGTGTCTTTATATTCAATTGTGTGTGCTTGCAGTTTTTGAGGCAAGCAGCCTTGCCGCGCTCGATTCCCATATAGCAGTCTGCTGAGAGAGAGCGAGTGGGGTGAGTCCTGTGGGGCTTATCATGTCTGTGAGTGAATGTGGGGGTGGGACAGCGGGCACATTCACTGCACTGAAAACACAGTCGGCCTGAGCTGACTGTATGTGTGTTGGTTTATTTTTACAGAAACCGTGGGACATGTGGTGTGTAGTGTTTGTGGGTACTACTGAGTCGTGGGCACGTTCACTACATTTAATGTAACGTTACTTTTGACATGAGTCGATTTTATTAGTGCGAGCCCTGCACTGAGGCGGGCTGTTTTGAAATGAACACTGGGCTGTGGGCATTTTATTACACTCATAACACCATCGGCTGTGGCCGGAATACCAGAAAATAAATATGAATTTATCTGGGTTACCTTGGAAATGGCATTTGCGTGCAGGCTCTTTTAGCTCACACCAGCGAGCGAAGCGAAAGCTAGACCAATGTGTTAATCCTTGTCCTCGCTGTTGTTCGACCATGAAGAAAACATACAGTCGGCAATCAAATGCGAGTTGAGCACTCACTTCAGGATCTGAGGAAGTTGTGGGTGGTGGGGGAAGAGACGTATGCCGTAAAGCGGTCGAATTTTGTAGTTCTTTTTGTGCTCGGGTTCCTACCCGAAACCCGAAGTTACAAAGTGCAAGTAAAAGCGATACAGACACCTTCAGGCTACGGCAGACGTGTCATTCAACCTATTGTAAGTCGATGTACCATCTCAATGGGTTTTTTTGGTAATATATTATGATGGTTGAAAAGTTCCTCAGAGTGGCTTTAAAGTTGGAACTGCTTCATGTGTTAGTAACAGTTTCTTATTGAATCCAGCATTGAATTCGTGGAGATTCTGGAAGCTGTCTTCCGTAAAATGTGCAACACAGAGAGTGATGTCATTTTCAGGAACATAATCACACATAAATTGTATACATTGTTGACGAACTACAACGTCCATGGGAAGCCGAACAGAGAAGACCTGACAGCTGGTGAACACAACACACTTTCGACGAGCCGCAGAAACATGGCCATGCCCTTTTTTGCATATTCCAGAGGGAGGGTTGATGTAAATGTATGGGTTAGTGACGTCAAAAACCCAGCAGTAGTCCCAATCGAGTCGTTTTAGTAGGCAAAAAACTTCCTGATTTTTAAAAGACGATATCTCTGCTTCCATTGAACTTTCAGCGCAGAAACTTTGTAGATACCATTCATGCACCAACATCAACATTACACACTATTTAAAATGAAAAAAGTGAAATCGCAATCATAACCCCCCCCCCTTTAAGCATCGTTGTCATGTAAACATACCCTATGACAAATATAACTGAATGTATGTTACATACACGCCCCCAGAAGAGTTGTTAGGGGAGCCCAAGGCGCAGACGGAGAGCCGATGGGACCAAGTGGCACCTCTGGCACTGGTGAACAAGGTGGAGCCACACCGAAAAAGCCTCCGAGGAGGAACCAGGGTGTCCGAGGACTGAGGCAGACCCAGTGCGAATGAGGACCAAGGTGGAGCCGAAGGGAGGGTGGAGCTCGGTGGAGCCGAAGGAGTTCGACAGGTGGAGGTGGAGCAAAGGGATCAGTGGCTGAAGATGGAGCCGAAGGATCCTCTTGTTTCAGTGAAGCTGGTGATCGTAAGACCTGGGGCTCAGCTGCACCACACAGTGTGAAGGGGGAACCAGGTGAGGTGAAGGACTGACTGAGGTGGGTGAGGGAGGATGGGCGGGGTTGATGATGATAATACAGTGTCTGTACAGGGCGATGATACAGTCTCTATAGAGGATATATCCAGCAATAATAAACGCACAGTCTGAATATAACAGGTTTTATGCTGGACAGGACCAGCAATGATGTCGACACTGATGAGTCAGTGAAGGGCAGAAAGGGAAATAATTCTTCAGAGTCCCAATCGATCAACCAGTCAAGCCTAGTTTCAATCTCCGCAAAAATCTGGTATAGTGCAAGGTGCTGACTCTCTGTGGTCATCAAAACAAAAAACCCTCAGCAAAAGAATTGGGGTTTAACCCTGACATCCTGTCCATCATGGCCTTCTAATCATCCCCATATACTGATTGGCTTCATCACTCTGTCTCCTCTACATCAATAAGCTGGTGTGTGGCGAGCGTTCTGGCACAATATGGCTGCTGTCGCATTATCCTGGTGGTGCTGCACACTGGTGGTGGTTGAGAGTTGAAAATTCCCCCTTCCATTTGTTGAAGCACTATATAAATGTGAAAAATGAAATCAAATGATTATATTAATTATAATAATTATGTCATTCTCCGCTTCGTACACAGTGACTGCAGATCCGTTCACCCACAGTTCAAAGCTCCAGCAGTTCCTCTGCAGGGCTCGAAATTAACTTTTTCTTGCTCACCAGCCACTGTGGCTAATGGTTACTAGCCACTCAGCATTTTCCCTTACCATTACACTCGGGTGTTATGGGGATAGTTCACCCAAAAATAAAAATTAGCCCATGATTTACTCACCATCAAGTCATCCTAGGTGTGTTTGCCAATCAGAGTTATATAAAAATAATGCCCTGGCTCTTCCAAGCTTTATAATAGCAGTGACTGGCTGTTTCAGTTATGAAACCATACAAGCATATATCCATCATAGAAGTGCTTCACACGGCTCGGGGGGTTAATAAAGGCCTTTTGAAGAGAAGTGTTGAGATTGTGTAAAAAAAAAAAAAAACGTTCATATTTATTTAACACAAATTCTACGCCAAAAAGCAGTTACACCTTACACCTAAAGCGCAACTTAAAGGGTTAGTTCACCCAAAAATGAAAATTAAGTCATTAATTACTCACCCCCATGCTGTACCAACCCCGTAAGACCTTCGTTCATCTTCGGAACACAAATAAAGATATTTTTGATTGAATCTGAGAGCTGGATCAGTCCTACATAGACTGCCTAAGGGACTGGCTCTTGACGGCCCATAAAGTAATTAAAGAAAAGGTTTAAATATTCCATGTGCCTACAGCGGCTCAATTATAAGTTTATCAAGCGACGAGAACACTTTTTGTGCGAAAAAAACATAAATAACGGCTTTATTCGACTATTTTTCATTTTTGGGTGAAGCATCCCTTTAATGTCAAGTTACTTTTAGGTCCAGTCATCTGTCACAATTAATGTCAACTGACATCAAGATGTAAATTTTCCTATGCTGGACATAGCTTTTGCTTTTGGCCACTACTATATATTAGTTTAAATTCAGTGTTGACTTCTGAACCTCAGTGCATGTTTTTGTTGTGTTTTGTCCTGATCATGTGTGCTAAAATCCCAAGGTTGTTTCCCATGCCACACAGTAATCTACAGGTAAGTAACATGAGCCCACCAAACAGGTCTAGCCTGAACCCCCCCAAAAAAAAGAAAAAGAAAAGAAAAAACACAGCATGGGAATCTTCATTATTAAATAAGCTGTCTTTCCGTGAAGGAAAAGGACCAAGACAATTCAAATATTAAAATGAACATCCTTCAGATTAGTGTGGCATTTCAGATGCCCTGGTGGAGATTCCATCATACAAGTAAATCTGATCTGAACGAGATGGAAAACCCAAATAATCAAAATCATAGCATGATGATGCCATTCAATTGATCTGCTACCGGCAGGAAGTTAAATCACATCCAAAAAAAATTCCAGTTAAAGGAGATCCAGAATGCCCTGGATTACGTGAGAACCTATGCTAATGAAATGAGATGGTTTGTTATAATTTCACTTTGAGCAATTATTAACAAAATCCCCCAATATTCTTTACAGTCACAAGGTGCTTTGTCCAAGTCAAACACACAAGCAGTTTTACAGTAATGCAAGTCATGAGATATTTTCTTATACTTATTATTAAACTTTAAATGAATAATTCAACCAAAATATATTTTACTCACCCTCTTGTCTGACTTATTTAAAACATAATGCATTTTACTATATACTTACGGTTAGTTAATGTGTCAACGAACAATGAGCAGTAATCTTTGTTAATGTTAGCTAATAAAAGTGCAACTGTTTATTGTTTCATTTAAGCAAAGGTCCATTAAATAATATTAACTTGTGTGTAATTTGTTAGTAGATGTTGAAATTAACAGATTAATAAATGCTTTAGATTTTTTTTTTTTTCATTGTTAGTGGAACCTTAGTGGAAGTCTTTTTTGTCATTTTGTTTTTGTCACAAGTTTTTTTAGACTCAGTCCTCATTTACTTTTACAGAAAAGAAAGGAAGGAAGGAAGAGTCATGCAATTACATTTACGGTCTGTAAATGATGGCAGATCTTCATTTCAAGGGCATTATCGAGGTGAAGCCTTACCAGATATATATATATATATATATATATATATATATATATATATGAAGAGGATTCGTGGAAAATGATACAATTTATTTCAAGTCTCTGCATGCAGGACAAAATGAAACTAATGGACAACTCCTGAAACACCCCTCTATCTATCTATCTATCTATCTATCTATCTATCTATCTATCTATCTATCTATCTATCTATCTATCTATCTATCTATCTCACTTCCTTGTTAACAGTAGCTATTCCGTTTTTTATAGATTTGTTTCACGTAGGAAACGAGACTATGATATCAGCGAATCTACATGTTCATTCCAGTGATGATTTACCGGATTCCTCGATGATTTATCGGTCCTGTCATTGCGTTCTCAGAATCCGTGAAGACTGAAGAGAAGCCAAACTGAATTCATGATGATGTTTTTCTACGAGCACAAATTTTCTGAAACTTGGCCAATGAACAGCGAAAGTGGGAGGAACCGAGGACGCGCTTGAGAAACCGCCTTTTACCACAGTATAAGAAGGCGTTTAAAGCATATCCTCTCCACAAACCCGCAGTAACACAAAGTGAGCCACAGGATACAGGCTTCTGCTCATGCGAGACATTCATCATTAGTAAGTAAGTAAGCAAGCAATTTCGTGAATATATAATACACACAAGGCTACAGTAACCTGATCTCTACTAATGAATATAGTGTAAATAAAATGATCATGATTTGGAGTTTTTTATTTTAATATACTGGGCTATTTTATATTTAATTTGTCATTTTAAGTCATACATTTTAAGCTGTTGTTTACAGTGTGTAATAACCATATTTAACATCCAATTTAACATTAAGGTGGTTTTGCTGCAAACTGTATTTCTGCAGTATGATGCACTGAAAAGGCAAGTTTTGTGCAGAAGGAAAAGTGTCATGGAATTGCCATAGTGGTAGGCTAGTATGTTTAATAATTACATCCATGGGCCAGTTGCATAAAATGCTTGGACTAATGTTCAGTAGTCTTTTTTTAAGACAAATCATAACCTTTTAAAGTCGTTCTAACTGCTAGTTGGTCAGAATAATTCTCAAGACAGTCTTGACTGTTTATGCAACTGCCACCAGTTTCTTATTTATTTTTTAAGGCTTTTATACAGTTAAATATCATTGTTTTGATACCTGTCATGACATACAGATGGAAATCCTCCCCTGTAATCTCTATAGAATGATATGCAGTAGAGTCTAAAAGGGTTAAATGGACCCAGGACTGTGAAGAATGTCTTGCTTCTACATTGTTATTTTAGCTACGGGACTGAACATGTTTAAGCCTGAGCTTTTTCCATTGTCTCATAAAGCTAGAGACCAAAAAAGTACCCTTATAGTAGATGTGCTACCATAGTAGTAATGTTTTGTTAAATTTATATTTATTAATTTCCCATTTTTATCAATGAATTAATTCATTTTTAATTATTTAGAAATGTGTCATGGAAAAACCATCGCCCGGTTTCACAGACAAAGCTTTAGCTAGTCTCAGACTAAAATGTTTGAGTTGTTTTAACTGAAAGCAACTTGCACTGATATGTCTTTAAATAAGTCACTGCCATTGTTTTGTCACCAGATGCACACTAATGTTTTTTTCTAAAGCACTTTTATAAAAGCTACATAAATGTCTGATTTAAACTAAAGCCAAATGCCGTACCCTGACGCGCACCTCCCCCAAAAATGTAACTACAACTTCAAGATCTGTGATTGGTCGGATTTGCAGCATCGCGTTTCCTTCTAGGCCACCATTTTGAATTTGAAAATCAGAAGTACACTGATGTACAATAAATGGCTGCACACGACGAACCTACTGGCCAACAATATCTGAAATGCATTTCCATGTCTCTCAAGGGGCCAGACAAGCACAGAAAATTCTCCCTCTTTTTGCCTCAACCGGTTTATATGGGTCGTACGTATCATCTCCTCCGAAGCCTACTCTCATTTCTGCATATTAGTTTTTGTAATTTCATTAAAATTAACTGTTTTTCAACATTGATTAGCTCCAACTCACACAAATACACTCAGTTTCAGCCGCCATTGTTTGTATCAGCGAAACTCGACACAGTGGAACATCGAAACCCTAACGTCAACTAGTGTTACAGTGGCGTAATTACAGAGCAACCCGGACAGAACGCAGAAGTATAAATGCCCACGGCGGTGGCGGCTACGGTGTTCAGAAGTATAAATTGGCCTTAACACCTATAATCCTGCTTTAATCCAAGCCCTGTCTATGAAACCAGGCCCGTGTTTTTGACATGGTATTCTTTGCAGTATCTTATGTTTAAATATGTTAAATATGTTTTATGTGAGTTTTTATTAAAAAAAAAAAAAATAGTGGCATATTCTTCTAAGATTTCACCATCACTGATCTTAAAATTACTCCTAGTATTCCTAAAGACTGATTTTAGCTGGGTAGTTTACACTTCTGTTTAAGAGTTAAGCATTTCTCTACAAGTATGAATTTCCTCATTCAGGCTAAAAAGTAGATAATCTCATCTTTTTAATTGGATAGAAAATGTTTGTGGCAGATTAGGAAACTGGTTTCCCAAAGGTTGTTGGTTGAAACTCCAAAAATTAAAAAGGGGATTTACTAGGGTAAGTAACGTTTTTTTGCCAACCAATTAACCTTGGGTTGCCCTGTAGCATTACTCATACTCTCGCTGTTTTTAACTTTGAGTGAGTTTATCAGTGTGGGTGTTGTTGTTGTTTTACTCACTATCTAACAAGTTTTTCACAGTGATGTAAACTCAAGTAACCTGGGGAATCCAAATTAAATGTTCAACAAATGTTCAACAATTCAACTTATGTTCACAGTCAAACAGGAAATGATCACCAGCATCAGAATGAAGAGTTTGATAACGCCACCATTTCTCTCAGTCTTACTATGACTGTGTGAATATAGAGGTGATACGTCTATTTATAATCCACACTTGCTTTCCTGAAGGTGCTTTTTGCGAACTACTTAGAAATGTAGAATAGAGTTGACTCAAGTCACTGGTCAGGTCGTCTAATGAGTGTAGGAAGGAACGATTTTTATGCATTAATTGCGAATGAATTTACAAACAATAACAAAGAAACACAAATTAAACGTGATGTAAGTGTATGTCATATATCAGTCTATCTGAAGTACATTTTGAACATTTGAACATTTTCTGTTCTCAACACATGATAGTGGGAACACTTTACAATAAGGTTCATTAGTTAACTTAGTTAGCATGAACTAAAAACGAACAATACTTCACCATTTATTAATCTTAGTTAATATTAATTTCGACATTTATTAATACGTTAATAAAATCAAAGGTTGTATTAGGTAACGTTAGTTAATGCAATGTGAACGACAGTAACATAATCAATGAACAGGTGTATTTTTATTAACTAATCAACCTTATTGTGTAAAGTATCACCATGAAAGCTTTGCTATGGTGTCCGTTATGGAAATTGAGTAATGTGTGTAAGAATTACTGATAAGCTTCGTGTTGAAAGAGATCGTCCTTTCCGAGGAAGAACGGTCACTGTATTTCTAAGATAATCTACCTGGGGCTCTAGGTTTTGTCCCACATGTAAATCAGTTAATGTGCTGAATCATCCAGTCACACGGTCGAGCCACTGATCTGACTCACATGAGGTCACGTGACAAATCAACAACAAAAACAAAACTGCTTTGTAACTGTTATTAATGCAGACTCCTTTGGTTCAGTCAGTGCTGTTTTTACAGTAAATCAAGAAGTGAATCGCTACTGAATCATTGTGGGTCATGACATCAGTGACTAGTTCTGCTCATAGTCACATGCACAAACTCTTCATAACAGGCTTCAGATCAGGATTGTGTGTGATATCAGACTGATGTGTTGTCTTTGCCTGCAGGAGTCAATGAGGGGAACGCTGGTGCTCATATTCCAGGCTCTGCTATGGCCTGCCATCTCAGTTTCAGGTATGATTATTAATATGCATTGCACATATCTTTTGGCTTTAAATGATAAACGATGAATCTAGGAACTGCTAATACGAGAAACTGTTTATGTGGTTTCTCCCAGAAATGAATGTAGCAAATTAAGCTTTTCAAACTGAAAAGCTTTACAGAAGAGTGACAACCCAGATAGCAAACTGACATTGAATCAACGTGGAAACATGACATCGAAACAACGTTGATCTGACATTGTTTTGCTCATCGAATTAACGTTGAACCAACGTCAGACGCGTCATTCTTTCAAAACTAGCGGAAAATCAACTTGAAATCAACGTTGTTTCAACGTTATGAAAGCAAATCAATTTTCGATTTTCATTTAGCTTTGAAGAATGCCGCGTCTGACGTTCGATGAGCAAAATCAACGTTGTTTTGATGTCATGAGAGACGTCGTTTCCGCGTTGATTCAATGTCAGTTTGCTGTTTGGGAAACTGCTTAGATTTGTCAGGATAGATCTCATAAAATGACCTGAGCTGCTATTCACATTTACAGCTTCATTATTATAATCTTACTGATGATGATGACTATAGTAGGCTAACTCATTTTAAATAAAGTTGATAAAACACAACTGAGAACTGCACTACATCTCATGAGCCGTGAAAGTGCAACATCTGAGCCTTTGAGCATTTCACTTCCAGGTCTGATGAAGTTGTCTAATATAATGGCTCCTAATATTTTTTTTTTTACACTTTCTTCCATGTAATTTTGCTGAAAAAGCTCTGCTAAGTTACAAAGAGTTCTTCTCTATATCAGTGTCACTGTTTCTGAACTCCCTAAATATTGTAGTCTTGAGTTTCTTTCATATTCCTCATTTGAATAATTAATACGCAGAATAAAGGGACGGGGCCTGGTTGAGTTAGTTAGTAGTGTGTTAAACCGGCTGTAAAGGGGCGGGACATTTCCCAAACACACTCAAACCGCTCGACCAATCACAACACACTGCTCCAGCCGACCAATCAGAGCACAGTGTGCTTTTCAGAAGGAGGGGTTTCATAGAGACAGGAACTAAACAGAACATTACTGGCAGACTGGGAAAAGAGGAGCTGCAGCAACGGAGTGCCGAAGTTATGACGTCACTTTGTACTCCCGGTTCCCTCGCCCATAAGTCTATGGGATTTTTGAATGGGTTTTTGCTAAATCGCCTGATATAAGGTCTGTGGTTAACAAAGCCTCTAAATATTTTCACGTTTTGATCTATGACATAAAACACACCAGTTATAACCTGCTTGTGTTTTATTAAACTTTATCGTGTCTGATTGTGTTTTTTAAAACTTTATACAGGCTTTAAAATGTATACATTTTGGATTAACTTGTTAAGATTATCTTGATAGACAAACGTGTAAGAGTCAAAACTCTTTGTTGAACACAGATCTTATTTTTTGCGATTTTCCAAAAGTCTATGGGGAAAATGCATAGCTTTTCGATCGAGGGAACCCATGCGCCGCTAGCTGCCGAGTTGTCCTACAAAGTGACTTCATCACTTTGGCACTCTATGGAGATTATGGGACAAATAATGTGTATTTTTGAACATACAAGCATGAAAACATTCTAGTAGAGCCCAGAAATAAAATCAAGACTTCGAAAAAGGGCATAATATATCCCCTTTTAAAAAAAATGTTTTCATCCTGCCTTCCTCTAGGCCTGTTTACTGTGAACGTACAGAAGAGCTCTTACGAGGCAGAGCTGCACGGGGACGTCGAGCTGGTGTGTGTGTTCTCCGATGTTAAACAACCCTCAAACCTCACCGTCATATGGACCCGCATCAACCCGAAGCCAGATGTGGACGTGTATCGGCTCGAGAAAGGCAGAGAAAACCAAATTTACACCAATGATGCGTTCAAAAAGCGGGCGCAGCTCATCCAAGAACAGCTGAAAGAAAACCGAGCGGTTTTACACTTGAAAAAGCTCCAGATAAAAGATTCGGGAACATACCGGTGTATCGTAAAAGAGGGAGATGAGGGAGACTACAAGCAAGTCACGCTCAATGTAACAGGTGCTTTACTAACAACAAACAACTTCATAAAAGTCGCATTTGATTGCTGACAACATTAAGGTGTCAGGTGATTGGTTTGCAGTTTAATTAACTGCTGCAATGCATTATGGGACTCCTAATAGGACTCTTTCTTCTGCTGACACACTAGCTACAGTTCTTGTTGTATTAAATTCTAAATCACAATTTTTTTATTCACATATTAAATAGCAATGAATTCGGTTTACTTATGCTGCATTCATTTATATGCTGCACATTTTGGCAAATGTAGAATTTGTTTTGGTTGAGTTGTTCAATGCATACAGTAAATTTGTAAACACGGTATATGCACAATATATACATACATCATACTACAAAAATAGACCTAGTGTAGTTTTCCAAACTTATCCACAATCCTGAACACGTTTTCATGTGCTTCTCTTTAACTTGCACCAGATTGTCTTCCATATAATTTACGTATTACGTTTATGTTTTCCAGCTCCTTATACTCCCATAAAGAAAAGCGTGAGGAAAACGGGTCAGGATGAAGTGGAGCTCTCCTGTGAGTCTCAGGGGTTCCCGTCACCTCAGGTTTTCTGGAGCGACGGTCAGAACACAAACCTCACGGAGACGTCCAAAAGCTCAACGCTCCATACAGATGAGGATGTGGTCAAAGTGTTCAGCACGCTGACGGTGAGACGAGATCTCGTGAACAACTACACCTGCTCTTTCCTCAGGAGCGGCGAGGTCCAGCAGACGGCCTCCTTCAGCATCCCAGGTGGGTTCACTACTATAAGGCCCGATAAAAAAATATTACATTGAGAGATTCTATGTAAATGTTATTATTACTGTTGTTACTACTGGTATACATCTGATTTTGTATATTGATTTTGTTTATTTAAAAAAAAAAAAGAAATGTTGCTGAAATAAGTAAATAAATAAATATTAAACGATAATTATATACGCTGTGTCTGAAATCCCATACTGTCTGAGTAGGTGCTACATTTGAATTTAATTCAATTCAACTTTATTTGTATAGCGCTTTTCACAATACATATTGTTTCAAAACAGCTTTACAGAAAGTGCATTTCAGAATTTAATGTAGATTGAAAAAAATCATGTATTAAATCATGTTGTGATGAAGAGGCAGAGGCGGACGAATCCATTTGCAGTACTTTATTAACGCAGGTAAGCCAACAGAGGTAAACAGACATAAACTCAAGGCCCAAGACAGGAGGGGCCGGTAAACTAACTAAAGCCGCTGAAAAGGGCAATCCAAAGGCGTAACAAACAGGCTAGGGTCAGAGGCAGGCAGCAAAGGTTCAAAGGCGAGTAACACAGTCCAAGATCAAAATACCAGAGCAAATACAAGACGACTAGCATGAGACAGAGTAACGGTAAAACAAGACTTCACAAAGGAACAAAGAACATAGCAGTCCAGATAAAGGGGAGCTGAAAGGGTGCACAGGTGGGGCTGATGAGATGATAGCCAATTAATAAGGGGATAATGAGAAGGGAAGGAGTTCTAATATGCAGGAGAGAGGGATCTGATGAAACCAGGAGGAGGCGTCGTTGAGCGTTCCGTGACACATGTTAATCATGTATTAATTTAGGGCACAACAATATGTTGTGCCGGCGTTGAGTCGTCTCTTCACAGGCGTTTAGTCATCTGTTTTTACTTTGTGTTTTTGTACATTTACATTGTGACCGTTTAAAAAGTATGATTATATGGATGAAATTTGGGCATATTATATTCGCCATGTTGTTTGTGTCATGTGACCTACCAGTGTCATTAGTGTCGCTTCATAAATCCTCTCCCGCGGCCTCATGGGACAGTAAAGTGTCAATTTTAGGCACACTTCAGAATCTCACCAGAAGTAGTAGATCATCCGTATATGTTTTGCCTTTTATCAGTACTGTGAATTCTGACATTCTTTTTTGTCACTCACTGTTTTTCGCCTATATAAAGTAGGGAAGTATGCGATTTCGGATGAAGCCAATGATTTATTTTCCAGCTGATGAGCCACATAAACATTATCAGCCAATCAGAATCCATCCTGCTTTAAAGAGCTTGTGTATATGCTTTAAACAAGAACAAATATCTGAAAATGGGGTCTGAGAAAAATCAAGCTTTCTCTTTGAATTTAGTTTATTTTCTGACCCGATTGGCAGCTGTTTGTTTTTGTTTCAAGCATTAGCTCACTTAATTTGTGCCTATTTTTATTCTATTTTCAAAATCATTTTGCTTCTCCAGTAAATGTATGTTGATTTAAGAATGTTTAAATATTTGCAATGGAAAACAGACAAAAATACTTAGTAGGAAAATCAGTTTTTGCGCTGTATCAGGGAAACAAACGCTTGATGCACTTCTGAGAAAGAACTGATCTTTATAAAATGAAAATGTCAAAAGCAGCATCAACCTACAGATGTGAAAGTTGCTGTGTTTTCCATCGCTTATGGCTTGTGTGAGGCAGATTTTCATTGATGTGTTTCTGCGACGAGGGGGCGGAGGAAGACAAACACGCACAGTTTCCGATAAATATGGAGGAGAGCCTTTGTTACCGTGTTTTTCCAGCAGACACAAGAGTCTCATTGTGAAAACGGTTAGAATATAAAGTTTCACCCTAAAGCAAGTGTTAATCTTTCAAAGTCTGAAAGGAAATATCTTCTGTTATGTAACAAAGTTACCCATTATACCACGTCTTTTGCATTCAGTGCATGATCACATTCAGTAGAAGTGTTGATAGATAGGTACTGCGATTAGCTTTAATTTAATTTTTGTTTATTGGCAGAAATTTATGGGCCATATTGGATGAACCAAATCGAAACATGGTTATTATCATTAATCAAAACTAAAACCATAAAAAAACCTGAATTTATTTCATTACTTGAAATGAACGTATACTGAAAAAAAGTTAAGCAACTTATTTCATGTCAACTAGTTTCCAAGGTAACATTAATAACTATAATAACAAAAAATAAACTTCAATTATATAGAAGTATTTTTTAAAACACAACAAAATTACTAAAACTTTAAATAAAATAAAGATAGAAATATAAGTAAAATAAAATATTTATATATATATATATATATATATATATATATAAAGAAAAAGAAAAATAACACTTGATTCAATAGTATTTCAAATACATTGAAGCAACACTGGTTCAAAGCTGTTGTAAAATAGCTTATATATAAAACTACCTTCATTAAATAAAACAAACTTAAACTTGTTAAAATAGTTTATAAGGGAACATTTCTTGTGTTAGTACAGGTTGAAGTTCTAAAATAACTAAAATCAAGTAAACGAAAAGAAAATGAAAATGACAAAAACAAAAGAAAAAGTGTAAAAATGTAACTTTTGAAAATATGAAAATAAAATCAAATGCAAAATATTGACGCTTGTGTGTGTGTGTGTGTGTGTGTGTGTGTGTATATATTTAAAACACTTCTTGATAACACTTTGATGATTAATATGTGTCAGTTTCTGCCCCGCTTGAACATCCATCATGATGTTCTTCTGAGAGACAGATATTGAGTGTTAACCGCAGTGTTTCTGGTTTCCACAGATGAAGTCCATCATGAATGTTCAGCTCAGTACGCCTGGATCGGAGCCGTGGTCATCGTGCTGTTAGCCATAACCTTCATCTACGTCATTCTGCGCAGGAGGAGCAACGGTACTTTGATAATAATTTTTTTTTTAAAAATCATTATATATCTAGTCTTTGACCTATACCATAGTAATACCATGATGTTTGGGTATTTACCACAGTATTATTGTAAGAGTACCATGTGAATACCACTTTAATCTGTCAAACCACTGATTCTGATCACTGATCACGGTCCATTAAAGCGCGTCAGTTGGCACATGTCGACGTCTCGATCAGATATGGAGAAGTTTTAGGTGGAGCCGCTGTGGATTTGCTTGATTGATTTATAGTTTGTTTATCATGTGAGTCAACCTCATATGATATTAAATACCTTACAGAAGGAATCCCCTGCTGGATCTCTGTCAAGAAATAGATACTCAGGTTTATAAGCTTACTGCATGAAAAACTCATTAGTCCTTCATGTTCATGCGTTACTACTAGACGCTTTTGAATGACATTTTGTACATGCACAGTTCTAAACATTATGAAACTAAAACATGCAGAAACAGGAATGACCCAGTAAATTACCCTTAACTAACCTCAGCTGTTACTGACCTTGCCTAATTAATATTATCAGTCATGACTTTGGGTTATGTTCATAAAACATATTACTAATATAGTTCTCTGGCATATATCATATGGTGTGCTTACTGTACTTCTTGGACATCACACACTTAATTGCTGTGACATCAATGTAACAGACTCCAGTTATTGTTGCTCTCTGTTACAGTTATTGTTTATTGCTTCGCTTACTAAGCGGTTTTGTGAGTTAGCATCATGTGACGTGTAAACAGAGAGTCCTCAGTTTGTTAATCTTCAGTATTTGCAGGAATTACGTTCAGTTTTCATCACAGGTGAATCCCACATTTGTCACTCACGTGTGGAGACACTTCGCCTACCGGTTACTCAACTATCTTTAAAGGGGTCATGAACTGGCTTTTTAAATTTTATTATATTGTTGTCTGAGGTCAACTTAGGACGTTCGCTTGGTTTTTGCACTCAAAAACATCAAAATGAATAAGTAATAGGCTATTTTGTACCCAAGTTCTGATCCTATCTGAAAAACGCACAGAAGACTTGGAAGTAAACGCCCTCTGCTGTGAGTGGATAACAGTTTTGCATATTATAATGAGTTTCAACTCACCAATCGATGCACTTGGGGGAAATTGTTTTGAAAACTTCCAATGTTGTAAAATGGCTACCGGAATGATTCGCCCATACATGTTCGACCCAGAGTCCGTGTGTTTTGCGCAATTCCTGTCAGATCCAATATAGACGGCACAGCACCGTTCTTTACTCTTAATCGGTCAGCAAAAAATCCAGTCTTGTTCACAAAACAATCCTCAGTGAAATGAAGCGAACAGAAGACGATGTTTTACCTCATCAGCTGGAACGTCATTAAAAATAAAGTTGATCCATGCAGTCCTATTGGAATCCAGAGGAAGCTTATGCAGCGACTGTCTTCATCCACAACCAGGCACAGCACAATATTCTGTATTGCTCGGTAGTTCGAGCCCCTTTGTCATCACGAGGTAGGCCTATGTTATTTAGCTATGCGTGTAATGCGCGAATCAGTGGGCGGGGCTAAACTGGCCGTGTTGAAGTAGGCGTTGATCTTCTTCTGCGGGGGTGGTGTTTTATCCTCTTCGACGTCATAGTTCCCCACTTTGAAAAATGAGTTGTTTGCTGAGGCTGGTGTCAATAAAAGCTTTTATTGGACTAACAAGGACGTTTTCAGTTCTGAAACTTACAGGATATTCTTATAATATGATGACCTCTTAGATGTCAAAAGCTGAAGGAAAATGTTTGATTTCTCAGTTCATCACCCCTTTAAAAAAATGTAAACAAAACATTCATGGAAAGGTTTTAATTGACTTTTTGAAGTGAAATCACAAACACTGAACATATGCTGTTGTTACTCTGAGGTTTATACATTCTGTAGGTTTCCTGACAAAACATATTTTCCCGTAGTAGCCTAATCCTGACACTGCAAAATATTTGTCCATTTCATGATTATGATCATTATGAGCCGAAACAGAAGTGTGTCAACAGCTTTAAGATATAAAATCATAGCTATGCAAAAATGTTATTTCATATCCTCTTTTAATGTGCAGCCATGGGTGAATTCCAATAAATAATGATAAAATGTTACGTGACATGTTTCTCTATCTATATTCCCAGGTCAGAAAAACAGACGAAATGAATCATCTAAATGTGCTTTACTGTTCCCGCACTCGTCCTCTGCCAACACGGACTGTGAGTTTCTCACATTTACATCATTAGTTTCCCGCACAGTAATTCATTTTGCTTATGATATGAACGTCGCTAAAAAGTGACCGTAAAAGTATACTGTAAAAACAAAACAAGATATTTCTGGATGGACGTTGAGAGCATGCAATACATAATACATAATGATACATCTATATTTGTTTATCTAAAGTATATCGTATATAAAGTAAATAAAGTTGTATCTAAAGTACATTTTAAAATATGACATATATTATATATTTTTATATATAACTAAATAATATATTTTACATATGATTATATATAAAATATATTATTTATTTATATTTAAAAATTTTAAATTATATTAATCATGCTTATATGTTTTATATTTTATCAATAATATATTAATATATAAAAGTACATTTCAAAATATAGATAAATATTAGAAATTTATCAAATATATCAACTTGACTATACACTCTAAAAATGCTGGGTTATTTCAACCCAAATTTGGATCAAATATTGACAAACTCAGAAACTGGGTTAACATTTTAAACTACATTTTTAACCAAAAGTTTGGGTTTGTCCACACAAATTTGGGTTAAACAACCCAGCATTTTTTTAGAGTGTATATATATATATATATATATATATATGTGTGTGTGTGTGTGTGTGTGTATATATACAGACACATATAGGCATATATATATATATATATATATATCTATATATATACACTCTAAAAAAATGCTGGGTTGTTTAACCCAAATTTGTGTGGATCTCCATCTCTGAGGCACATAATAAATGTAACATATCAACATGACTTAAAAAATATAAATATATTATCTTTACATAAATGTATATTGATAAACTCATGCCTTATTTTCCATTTTTAATCAAAATATATTTATATTGTCCAAAATATATATATTTAAAAACTTAAACTTTTTCAATTTCATTCATCTGTATATAACAACATATATATTTAGATTTAGCATACATTTTAAATATATTTTTGCTGTATGTTTTAAACCTGCAAAAGGCATTTAACTCTTTGTTTGTGTTATTGAACAGTGTTTTTCTTATGTATGAATGTCTCTTTCATTCCCAGCTTTACTGACAGTGAATGAGAACAGACCACAAACATGTCCCATAACCTCAGAAGGTAAAGCTTGTTCTTTATGAATTTATTATGGTTAGGAGTTAATGGTTAAACAGCTGATGCATGTTCAGTTCTGTAGAAACTGGAAATATGTTTAATGTGACTATTACCCTTGAGTTTAATGTGACTACTACCCCCGACTGCTCCAGCACACCGTTTCCTTCTTGTCATCTGTCTCGTTTGCTACTGTAAATAGCTCATAAAAGTGTCTACATCAGATTGTGAAGCACATCTGGAGGCTTCATGTGATCGTAAATTCAGCTGATGTGAGCATTAGTCAGGAAAGTAAAGCTCTTGTGACTCAGTTTGTCTTTGATTTGTGCAGAACCTGCAGAAAACCCTCTGTCTTTGAGGCACGTACAAACACAACAGTATTCACAGATTGACACAGACGCGGACGTGGAAAAGAGACTTGAGTCATTTGCACTTTACAGCGAGTGAGTGAGTGATTGGGGAAATCTGAATTTGAACTGCTTAAACAGATAAAGCATTATTCGTGTGTTTCTGTTGAATCACAGCATAAAAAAAAATTCCTTAGAAAAATCGGCAATACTATTCTTAAGGACAATACACACACACACTTTGGGACTCTCCATTGACGTAATGGTTTTTATACTGTCCAAACTGTATATTGTCTCCCTCCTAACCCTAACCCTAGCCTAAACCTGCCCTTCACACACACACACTAATCCTACACCTAAACCTACCCATCACACACACACACCTACCTACCCAACACACACATACAAACACACACACACTAACCGTACACCTAAACCTACGTGGAGACGTAACGCTGAATGATATATATATATATTTATACAGTATATAAAGTGGTATTTATTTATTTTATTTTAATTTAATTCATCTATTTGATTTAATCCATCTCTTAAAGGGATAGTTCACCCAAAAATGAAAATTCTGTCAGTAATTATCACCCTCATGTGGTTCCAATCCCGTAAGACTTTCGTTCATCTTGTGTCTCTGTGGGCCTCGAGAGAGTTCTTGTAATGTAACATCGCAGCGCTTCTGTGTTGTTCGTCACACGAAGGCTCACTATTATCCGACGCTGGTCATGTGTGTGAGTGAGACGTACAACACAGAAGCGCTGCGCTGTTACACTACGTGAACTCACTCGAGGCCCACAGAGAAGAAAATTAATAGTTGAATAAAGTCATTATTTTTGTTTGTTTTTTGCACAAAAAGTATTCCTGTCGCTTGATAAGCTTGTAGTCACTCAGACTATTTTAACGATGTCTTTAATAACATTTCTGTCTAGTTTCAATCCCTTAAGAAGCCTATTGAGGGGTGATCCAGCTCTCAGATTTAATCAAAAATATCTTCATTTGTGTTCTGAAGATGAACGAAAGTCTTACAGGGTTGGAACAACATGAGGGAGAGTAACTACTAACAGAATTGTCATTTTGGGGTGAACTTGCCCTTTAATGGTTGGTGAGGGTCGAGTAATTGTGTTGATTTTGATTGTTTTGTTCTGAAGAATAAAAGTAGGTAACACTTTATGTGCATAAGACTAACATGACACCTTAATAATCATGACATGATACATGTGATGAATATGAAGGAAGTTTTATGCATGTTTATGACAACTGTCATTAAGTGTCATTCGCTCAATTAAGACATTTTTAATGCAAATATGACATTGTTTGAGATGTGTTTGTTATGACACCTTGACATAAACCAATACATCGTAACTGTCTTTGTCTTGACAACTTGACATTACTAAGACAACACAACCTGTCATAAACATAACATAGCAGATTAATTATCAAACTTAAAAAAAAAACACCTAGCTTTACCACCTAGTCGTTGGTTTTGACATTGGCTGTCATGAAGCCATTATAATATTTTAATGACTAATTCAATTTGTACCACTGCAGTTGATGTCACGAAAAATATTCATGACACAGTTATAAAGGCCTCATGACAGCCAATGTCAAAACCAACCACATGACAGTTTAACTTAATTTAATGTCAAGTTGTCATGACAAAGACACTGACAGGTTATGCTGTTATGGTTTATATGAAAATGTCATAATAAAGACATCTTAAACAATGTCATATTTGCCTTCAAAATGTCATCATTGAGTGAATGACACTTAATGACAGTTATCATAAACATGCATAAACCCTATTTCATATTCATGACATATGTCATGGTTATGAAGGCGTCTTATGCACACCCCTACAAGTAAAGTGTTACCAAAAAGGGTCTGTTTCCAGTGATCTCCTGAAAAACACAGCACTGGCTGATTGACAGATTAGCACTACACACACACATTACGCATTGATTTCGATGTTAACCAATGTCATCACTTCCTCTCAATTCCAGAGAAGACCAATTGCTAAACATCAGCTCCATCATTCCCGACACGAGGCAGGTTATCCTTCTGTTGGGAGAACCAGGCAGCGGGAAAACCACCGTAGCCCAAATCCTGTCGTCCTGCTGGGCTGGGAACGCCTTCAACGCCCCCCCGCTCCATCTGGTACTGCTGGTGGACTGTAGCGGAGCACAAGGAGACCTTTTCCAGCTGCTAAAGTCCAAAGTTCATCACCAAAAACCACTGTTGTCCGACCTCAGAGAGACGCTTCTCGGGCCGGAGGATTGCTTGCTCATCCTGGACGGATATCAAGAGGGAAATAAGGACTTGGATGAAACTTTCGAGGTGTTTCTGAATGAGCGACAGATGTGCAGGGTGTTAGTGACGTCCCGTCCAGGACAGTGTCCATCCCTGGAGAGAACCGTCAGGACAGTGTTGCAACTCAAACAGAGACCGGAAGAGTCTGGTTCATGAGGAAATGGGATACATTTCATATTCGCATTGGCAGTGATCGTGCAATTTCATGTTTCAGCATTTACCGGGGTCAATGGATCCGCCCGTCGCTTCTCTGGAATCTTCCCCCTCAGACTTTGGCTGGAGATCAAACCAATTCGTTGTGTTATTGGAAGACCAAGTTCAAGAGAAGAGAAATGAGATCATGATAATAAAATGTTAGACTGTAAAAAGTGGTAACCTACTAATCTTAACACGTGAAATTAATCTTTTCAGTTGATTCGGGGATTTTAAATACAGTTTTTTAATTGAATAAAACCACTTAATTTGTAATTCATGTGGTTAAGCACATCTGATTTATGCTTTCAACAAAATATAGTTACCAAATAACCATAACTACCGTTTTATCTGACAGATCAAAAGCTGATTGTGCAATAACAACTTCTCTGTAAGTCCATCAAACTTTCTGTGACAACAGTTGCACGTGTATTTTGTTTATACTATATGTATAGAGAGAATGAGAGTTATTTTTTATACTTACATATTTTTTATAGTTTCATTTATTGATGTAAAATGCCATGATTTTGATAAAAGAAATGAGTGAAAACTGTAGTTTATACTCTTTCAGAAGCTTTTTTTGGGGGTCCATGCACAGCCTTCACAGAACGCTTTATCACTCACACACACAGCGTTGTTTGTTTCACTTTCATTATGCTCTGATTCTCAACAAGATTACTTCCATTTCTGAGAAAGTAAACTCCGCTTTAACTGGCAACGGCTAAAAAGGGAAGTGCATGTTTTCCCGCAAGGGGAGGCAGTAAAAAATGCCTGAATGTCATCTGGATGTACTTTATCAGCATTGTGCAGGATGCAACAGTTTAAGATATTGACAGCACTAAAGAAGAACTAAATGCTGGAGTTCAGTTAAGTAACATTTAAAGCTTTGTGTAACACCAAAAACAGACAGGGAAAACCCAGCAACAAAAAAAGAAACATTGATTCTAATGAATGCTAAAATTACCTATACATCTGAGATTGAGACTAGTAATGCATAAACACCTAAAGGATTATTAGGAACACCATACTAATACCGTGTCTGACCTCCATTCACCTTCAGAACTGCCTTAATTCTACGTGCCATTGATTCAACAAGGTGATGAAAGCATTCTTTAGAAATGTTGGCCCATTGTCACGGTATACAGATACGAACACAAGCGCAGAAAACATGTATTTAGTAAACAGTCAGAAAACAAAGACCCACGAGAGGGCAAATGAATGTCGACAAGACTAAAACTAATAAACTTGACAATAAAATGAGACTAGAACTAACAAATAGGATAGAAACTCTGATCCTAGGAATAAACAGCTCACAGGACAGGATACAAAATGAACAAGCGCCGAGTAACAAACACAAGGACTTTAAATAAGTGACATCATTACAAGGGCACAGGTGACACAGATGTACAATCAAGACTAACGAGGGGAACAAGGGGGCGTGGTAAAGTACACATGACAACGCAAACACATGCCCAAACCACAGGCCATGTGTTTGCACACACAACATGACAAATCCTGACATAACCCCCTTCTTAAGGAGCGGCTACCAGACGCTCCACATGAGACATAACAGACTGCAACTCAGAAACAAATCAACAAAACATAACTACTAACAACAATGGCAAACAAGAGTACATAATAACGGGATTTTGGGGCGACTCAACAAAAATAAGAGTTCATCGGTTGGGGTCCAGAGTGGATGGGTGAAAAAACAGTCCTAGACTCGACGGCGAGGGTTGAGGGCAAGGAAACCGAACAGGTCTAGGTGGAGGCCACTGATCTATATAATGACTGGATAGCTCATGACGTTCTAAAGTGAAGCCACCGGAAGTGTCCGAGCGGCCATCTTACGATTCCCTTCCAGCAGAGGGCTCCAATGGCCGTTATACAGAGACAGTAGCTCCGACGGCACTTTTAAGATGATGACCCTCTGTGCATAAACAAGTGTAGCCTGCTCTTCTATCAGCTTGAATCAGCCAGCCCATTCTCCTCTGACCTCTAGCATCAACAAGTCATTTTCGCCCACAGGACTGACGCATACTGGATGTGTTTCCCTTTTCACACCATTCTTTGTAAACCCTAGAAATGGTTGTGTGTGAAAATCCCAGTAACTGAGCAGATTTTGAAATACTCAGACCGGCCTGTCTGGCACCAACAACCATGCCACGCTTAAAACTGCTTAAAATCACCTTTCTTTCCCATTCTGACATTCAGTTTGGAGTTCAGGAGATTTTCTTGACCAGGACCACACCCCTAAAACCCAGGAGACGTGTGTGTCATGTTCTTTAAATGTCCGCCTGGAAACAAAACTGTTGCCAAAATCAACGTGGAAACGACGTCTCTCTCATGACATTGAAACAACGTTGATTTTGCTCATCGAATTAACGTTGAACCAACGTCAGACGCGGCATTCTTCAAAGCTAAATGAAAATCGAAAATTGGTTTGCTTTCATAACGTTGAAACAACGCGTTGATTTCAAGTTGATTTTCCGCTAGTTTTGAAAGAATGACGCGTCTGACGTTGGTTCAACGTTAATTCGATGAGCAAAACAATGTCAGATCAACGTTGTTTCTATGTCATATTTCCACGTTGATTCAATGTCAGTTTGCTATCTGGGTACGCTTTACACTTAACCCAACTTTGGGTAAAATATGGACAACCCCAGCCATTGGTTTAAATTTTTTAATTTTAACCCAACGTTTGGGTTTGTCCATATTTGACCCAAAGTTGGGTTAAAACAACCCAGCATTTTTAGAGTGTATGTTTTCATTCCCCTAAGCGTGATGCAGAAACAAAACAAACACTGATTGGTTGCTTTATGTCAGTCAGACGGCGAATGAAAGCTGTGATGGAGTCCAGACCTTGCATTACTTACATATCTTATTGCATGAAGTCTTAAATAAGACTAATACAAGTTAATGTCTGTCCATTTGCAATATAATAATTATGGTTTATGTTATCATAAATTAAAAAAACACAAAGGAAAGTCAAGGGATTATGGGTCATAATCAACCAATATGTTTTAAAGGCATCACAGTTTTTAAAGATCTGGTCACTGTAATATCTACCTGATCTGACTCCAAAAGGTGTTTATTAGTCATATTGAATAATAATTTGACGCAGGTAAACACTTAAAGCACGTTTCAGGCTACCCGACAAACAATATAACCAGACGAGATTATGCAAGACAGAAGTGTGTGGGCATGGAGGGATTCCCCGTGGCTCCTAGCCACTGATATTTCCTTATTCCTTATTCAATGAGACTTAAAAAACAAGCTCCAAAAAAGGAACAAATACCGCTTTAGTTTTTCTTTCTGATTTAAGTCATGCTATCCTAAAACCACATATATGCAAAGGTACAGGATGGATAAACCCCCTCAAACTCCCAGTGTTGTTAGTGAACTGAATGAAATGTTCAGCAACCGTCCCTTGCACATATACACTGCGTCCCAATTCAGAGGCTGCATTCCCTGCAAACCTTCTTTAAAGCATTGGGATCGAAATATCACCATCGTTAGATAAAATGACCAATATTGTGATATAAGATTTTCTGCATGCAAAGTTTTGGGATTGACAATCATATTTAAAGTTAACTGTGTGTGTACAGAATTCAGGAGTGACTCCAGATTTTACATTGGTCTCCAAAACTGTGTCTTTAGTATGGGTCTGCACTTATTTCATTTTAATCCAGAAATCAATTGCTAAATTTGATGACCAGATGAGCAGAGGCATTGAGCCAGGCCAAAGGGAATGTTTCACTGTTAAAATTTGAAATGAGTCACTATTGTTGATGAATTTGCAGATAAGAATGTGCTATTTCTTTTTCTTCAGTCCATTTCCTTCTTGTCTCTTCAACACTTTCATTCGAGTAGTGTAAAGCATCTGCTTTTGTTGGCTTCAAAGGAAGTTTGTGTTTGAGTTAAAAGTGTTCACTGGTCAACATATGTAACCTCAGGCCTGTTTACAGTCAGACTGGATGAACGGTGCTTTCCAGACCTCTCCATTCTGACCTCGGTTAACCTCTACTGGACACCTTCAGCAGGGGAATAAAAAAAAAACGTATTATACACATATAAACCACAGACACGATCAGCAGGGGGAAATAAAAAACATTTATAAAAATTTAAAAAAACGTGTCCGTGGTTCCTCATGTCCAGCAGAGGTTAACCGAGATCAGAATCCAGTTTTTTCTTTCTTTATAAATGTCCACTTTTGGCTGTGTGGGATTTTAGAAAATCTTTTCACACTGAAACTAGTTTGCACTAGTCCAGATTAGTCCACTGCCGGGGAACATACATGCATCACATAAAGAGTAACTCTTTTCTGAAAGAAAATGACATGCCATTTGCAGGATTTAATTATATGTTCAAACTTCTTGCATAATTTGACCAAATTACAGCTTGCTTGGAAATGATGTATAAATAAAACATTGTCTTATCTTGTTATTCACACACGCACAAGCTGAAGATACACTTGGCGTTTGTTTGTATGTCCATGCTTTATTAAACACAGGGTTTTTGTTTGCAAGACAGGTGGCAGTGATGCAATGCAAACGGTGAAGCATTTCAGCACGCACAATAAAGACACAGAATTTTCATGATTCAATATTTTAATTGAATTTAATTGAGATACGTTTGCAATGAGAACTGCGGTCAAGAACAAAATAAATGGCCAGCAAATGTGCAGCATGCAGCACAAACACACAGATATATAGACCATTTCACAAGATGTAAACAACACTGGTCCAGAAACACTTCCTGTTTCAGTTTGTAACTGTTTTCTTTATTTCACATGTAAAGAAAACATCTTAACTATGTTTGTTTAACTTTTTGATTCAGTTTTAAATGTTCTGTTGGTTGTATTTTATGCCAGCTTATATTGTTAAAAAACTGAAACAGGAAGTGCTTCTGGGCCAGTGTTGTTTACATCTTGTGAAATGGTCTATATATATATATATATATATATATATATATGTGTGTGTGTGTGTGTGTGTGTGTGTGTGTGTGTGTGTGTGTGTGTTTTTAAGAAAATACAAAGGCAAATACACGATTGGAAAAGCTTATTCTTGTCCCCAATACATTTTCGTACATAAAAGGATATATATGAAAACTCACAATTGCCTTGTCATGCTTTGATAGAGAGAGGGTTTTAGGAAATTTTCCCAGCAGAGCTAATGTTCGCTAAATCATCATAAACATGTTCTCTATGGGGAAGATTAATGTCCTGTTTATGAGAATGGTGCCTAGCCCTTCTCAAACAATCACAAAGTCAAACATAAGCATGACAATAGCTGCAGAACCTTTTTAGTGATAACAGGAACAAGGAAACTGACCAGCACTAATGTAAAGGTGATCTTTCATTATACTCCTGCTGCCTGGAAACAGTCTCCCTCTGTTCGCTCTTCACTTCCTGCTCACCTTTAAAGGGGTATACTCAACCCGAAAATGAAAATTCGGTCATTTGCTCACCCTCAAGTTGTTGAGTTTCTTACTTCTGCTGAATACAAAGCAAGATATTTTGAAGAACGATTTGAATTTTGACACCATTGACTGCCATAGTATTTTTTTATTTATTGAATTATGTCATTGGTGCCTGTTTAATTCCAATCATTCTTCAAAATATCTTCCTTTGCTCACAACTTGAGGGTGAGCAAATGATGACAGAATTTTCATTTTTGGGTGGAGTATCACTTTAAGAAAAACACTGGAGGAAACGCTAGCTATTTATTGTTCTGTAGGTACGGACAACAAACATATTGTGAGACTGCAGAATAAAATCATTTTTAATCGTGGTCTTGCACTTTTGGACCCCATTGCATGCCAGTCTAATAAAAGGAAACACCATCGACCTCCCTCTCTCCTGTGAGAACACATACAGTGGGACAGGTTTTATCCTCCTCCCTTTACTGTAATATCATAACAGAGAGTCAGAAGGAAGTGAAGGAACAAGACAGCACACGTGCCTGAGTCCCGCATGCAGAAACACAATAGCCTAGTGTTCGAGATTTCCCTAGATTCAGAAGAAGATTTGTTATTCATAGCTGCACAAACTACACAAAGAACATACATAGGTCAATGACGTGATGTTCATTTAGTGTAACCCCCCAAAATGCAATTCATGTAGTGAATATAACTAAGTTACACAAAATGTTGTTTGTAGAAAAGCTGCTTCAACGCTTCACCAAAATACCAAAGTTTTTTTTTTTTTTTTTTTTTACCGAATGGATTGATAATAAAGCATGTTTCAGTAATTAATCAAATTTGAATATGTAATTATGTAAAAAAAACAAAAACAAAACAAAAAAACGTGCGCTGTAGCGCTGCTGCCATCTCGTGGTTGAAAGTGACACACATCCTATTCTCTTTGATCAGATCTCTCACACATAGCCTAAATTGTTTTGTGTAAATTAATATCGTTCGAGCATATTAAAATGTATATATTTCTAAAGATAATTTTAGATTAACACATCCACTATGTCGTAATAAACGTTCCTGTAGTTTCCATGTTAACCACACGATGGCGCATCACAAACAAGTTCAGTGCCTCCAAAATCGAAAGAGACTTCTCGTGTTAATAAAATCACATCAAATGAAAGTCCACTTCACATGCCAGCCCATTAGATGGCAGAAATGCGCAGTTATTACATCAGAAATCAGAAGACAAAGAAGAAGAAGAAGAGTAACGCTGAATATCGATTGTAAATGTTCATGGATGTTCCCACACTGTACAATTGAAGAATAAAACAAAACAAAAGGAGAAACAACTGGCGTCCACGTGACATGCTAGAGGAGAGGAGGATGAGAACATGAGTGATACAGGAGGATGAGAACATGAGTGATACAGGAGGATGAGAACATGAGAGATTCAGGAGGATGAGAACATGAGTGATTCAGGATGAGAATTGGTATATTGGTTCCTCACTGTCACTGAGGATTGTTGAAGAACTTTCAGACCACAAACATTAATGCATTTCAGCAGATACAAAATATCTTAAGAGCTATAAAATATCCAACAACACAAGGTAAGAGATAAAAATAAACTGACACAATGAGTAAATAATAATGAGTAAATTGACACAATGAGTAAATAAATAATAATAACACAATTAACAATAATAATGCCTGATATTACATAGATAGATAGATAGATAGATAGATAGATAGATAGATAGATGGCCAGATACGTAGATAGATAGATAGTAGGGCTGTGTATTGGCAAGAATCTGCCGATACGATACGCATCGCGATACATGGGTCACGATTCAATATATTGCAATATATTTCGATACTGTCCATAAGGCGATATATTGGGATTATTTTTTTCAATATTGCATTTCTGAAAATCGATACAGTATTGCAAAATAAAATACATGTGTGATTTCAATGCAATAGTCATTTTTCAGCTCTCACTGCATCAGTTTTCATCATCTTGGTTTATGGACAATGTTTCATAAATCTAATTTCCCTTTGTATGACTCTTTATTTTGTTTCATCATGTCATTTCAGATTGAACTGGAGGTTTCACCTAATCATTTCATAACCGGAGAAAAATCTTCAAGCCGCTCACAGACCAGTGGAGAGAAGCCCTTCTCGTGTCCTCAGTGTGGGAAGAGCTTCACACTAGCAGACGGACTCAGAAAACACCAGCGCTCTCACTCGGGAGTCCGAGCGTTTCACTGTGAAGAGTGCGGGAAGACGTTCATCCTGCCCTCGCACCTGAAGAGACACATGCTGATCAACGCCGACTCGAAGCCACACTCGTGTGTTCTCTGTGGAAAGGGTTTTTCTCAGCTGGACTGTTTGAAAAAGCACCAGAAAACACACAGCGGAGCGAGACCTCACGTGTGCTTCGAGTGCGGGAACGCCTTCCACTCCTCCGACGCGTTGAAGAGACACCAGAGGATTCACACCGGAGAGAAGCCGCACACGTGCTCACACTGCGGGAAGAGCTTCTCGCAGTCCGGACACCTGAAACAACCCCTGAGGGTCCACACGGGAGAGAAACCGTACTTTTGCTCGCTCTGTGGGACGAGTTTCAGCACGTCCAGGAATCTGCCCGCTCATATGAAGAAACATTGTCCAGATGAGGATGAAAACTGATGAAGCGAGATCTGAACAAATCCCTCAAGATCACTCTGTATGCGTGTGTGTATTACAGCATGGATGAACATACACTCACCGGCCACTTTATTAGGTACACCTGTCCAACTGCTCGTTAACACTTAATTTCTAAGCAGCCAATCACATGGCGGCAACTCAGTGCATTTAGGCATGTAGACATGGTCAAGACAATCTCCTGCAGTTCAAACCGAGCATCAGTATGGGGAAGAAAGGTGATTTGAGTGACTTTGAACGTGGCATGATTGTTGGTGCCAGAAGGGCTGGTCTGAGTATTTCAGAAACTGCTAATCTACTGGGATTTTCACGCACAACCATCTCTAGGGTTTACAGAGAATGGTCCGAAAAAGAAAAAACATCCAGTGAGCGGCAGTTCTGTGGGCGGAAATGCCTTGTTGATGCCAGAGGTCAGAGGAGAATGGCCAGACTGGTTCGAGCTGATAGAAGGGCAACAGTGACTCAAATAACCACCCGTTACAACCAAGGTGGGCAGAAGAGCATCTCTGAACGCACAGTACGTCGAACTTTGAGGCAGATGGGCTACAGCAGCAGAAGACCACACCGGGTGCCACTCCTTTCAGCTGAGAACAGGAAACTGAGGCTACAATTTGCACAAGCTCATCGAAATTGGACAATAGAAGATTGGAAAAACTTTGCCTGGTCTGATGAGTCTCGATTTCTGCTGCGACATTCGGATGGTAGGGTCAGAATTTGGCGTCTACAACATGAAAGCATGGATCCATCCTGCCTTGTATCAACGGTTCAGGCTGGTGGTGGTGGTGTCATGGTGTGGGGAATATTTTCTTGGCACTCTTTGGGCCCCTTGGTACCAATTGAGCATCGTTGCAACGCCACAGCCTACCTGAGTATTGTTGCTGACCATGTCCATCCCTTTATGACCACAATGTACCCAACTTCTGATGGCTACTTTCAGCAGGATAGTGCGCCATGTCATAAAGCTGGAATCATCTCAGACTGGTTTCTTGAACATGACAATAAGTTCGCTGTACTCAAATGGCCTCCACAGTCACCAGATCTCAATCCAATAGAGCATCTTTGGGATGTGGTGGAACGAGAGATTCGCATCATGGATGTGCAGCCGACAAATCTGCGGCAACTGTGTGATGCCATCATGTCAATATGGACCAAACTCCCTGAGGAATGCTTCCAGCACCTTGTTGAATCTATGCCACGAAGAATTGAGGCAGTTCTGAAGGCAAAAGGGGGTCCAACCCGTTACTAGCATGGGGTAAATGCCATAATCTAAACGAGTAGTTCACTTTAAAAAAAAACCTTTGCTGATAATTCACTCACCCCCATGTCATCCAAGATGTCTTTCTTCAGTCGAAAAGAAATTAAGGTTTTTGATGAAAACATTACAGGATTTTTCTCCATATAATGGACTTCATTGGGTGCTATCAAAATGAACGCATCGTTTTTCGAGTCATTTGGTTCATTCAACGAACGAAATGAATGAAATGACTCAAAAAAAGATTTGTTCATTTCGAGTTCGAACAGGAGGGTCACGAACGCTCATCACAGAACAGAGCAAGGCGAGCATTTGTGCTAATAAAACTTAAACTTTTGTATTTCTTTTTTAAATGACTGATTGTTTCACTAGATAAGACCTAGATCTCTGATGTCTCCAGAGTGTGTATGTGAAATTTTAGCTCAAAATACCCCACAGATCATTTTTATAACATTACACTTTTTGGAGGTGAGCCAAAAATGCGCCGTTTTTTTGTGTGTGACCCTTTAAATGCAAATGAGCTGCCCCCCCCTCCCGCGCCCTTTTTAGATGAGGGTGGAGCTTCAAAATATCTATGGCAACACAAAACAGGACAACCTTACAATTTGGAAATGTCAGAAACAGCCAGAAGTGTTCTGTTGACTTGATTTCTATTGTGTAATTGCACAAAAAATTCTTTTACCTTTATTTTAACTTCAAAAAAGGAAAAAGCACTTTTTGTTCAGCCCCATTACATTCCACCATTTCCACATTTTAAAGTCACCATTGAGTTATTTTTGAGGAATAATGTAGTATTTATTATATTTATCTGTGCACATTATTCCTTAATTATTCCTTAAAAATTAATTAAATGTTACTTTAATCAAAATAGCTTCCCCCTCTTGCTGCTCATCTCTTCTACATTCCTCTTGTACATCTCTTCTCCCTTACATTTGTTCTTGTTCCAGAAGCTTTTCACTGGGATATACGTCACAATAGAGAAGACAAGACAAAAGACTTTCAAAATAATGGTTGTTATTATATAATATGTAATGGATCTCCTAAAATATGATGATCATAAAAGAAGTTAATTTTTCTTACAGCTTTATCAATATATTTTTGGTTTTATTATGCAAACACATTTCTTTGCACAAAGCACAAAAATATTGAACTGTGAATACTTTTTTGTGTTGTGATGATATTTGCCAGTTAGGGTTAATATTAGTTTCTGATATGTAGCCCTGTAATATTTAACTGTGAACAAATGGCACTTCTCCTGAAAACAGCCCTGTAAGTCAACCCATTTGAAAATAAACATTTTAAATTTTCATTTTAAATAGTGTGTAATGTTGCTGTTGTTGCATGAATAGTATCTGCAAAGTTGCCACATTGAAAGTTCAATGTAAGCAGAGATATCGTCTTTTTAAAATCAGGAAGAATATTGCCTACAAAAACGACTCGATTGGACTACAGCTGGGTTTTAGACGTCACTAACCCACACATTTGCATCAACCCTCCCTCCGGAATATGCAAGAAAGGGGATGGCCATATTTCTGCGGCTCGTCGAAAGTGTGTTGTGTTCACCAGCTGTCAGGTCTTCTGTGTTCGGGTTTCCCACGGACGCTGTAGTTCATCAACAATGGATACAATTTATGTTTGATTATGTTCCTGAAAATGACGATCGCAATCTAGCTCGCTGTGCTGCGCATTTTACGGAAGACACCTTCCAGAATCTCCACAAATTCAACGCCGGATTCAACAAGAAACTGTTACTAAAACATGAAGCAGTTCCAACTTTAGAACCAGAGGCAGCAGTTGTTGGGCCACAACCTGTAAGTAGGCTAAGACTTCATCATTTTAAATGTATTTGCATGTATAATTTCAGACATAATGTTTTAGTTTTATCAAATGCCAGCACTGGCTTTATAGCCACTTAATTATGCTATTTCGTGTCTACGATAAACGCGATAATGGGCGTAAATTTTCCGGACAACGTGAGCTACAGTTTAGCCAATCACCACACACCGGCCCAAACTAACCAATCTGAGCCCACTGCCTGTTTCTGAGGGAGTGGTTTCATAGACTCAGGAAGTCAACCGCACGCTCAAATGACAGAGGAGAGCGCGGTGAAGGTGAAATTTATGAAAAATAAGACTTTTAAAAAAAGAAAAACCACAAATTTGTGCGCGAGAACTGAGACGAGGACGTTCTTCTCCTTCGACTACTTTTTGTTACCGGCTGCTCAGCTTAGAAGTTTTACCGCCACCTACCGTATAAAATGATGATCCATATATAAGGCGCTCCGGATTATAAGGAACACTGTCGTTTTTTGAGAAGATTAAAGGCTTTTAAGTGCACCTTGTAGTGCGGAAAATATGCTAATTGAAAAGCGTATGTACAGCATGCATCTTCCTCTGCTTGTAAACAGAAAGTTTTGCGCTTCCAGCTATATCAGCACATCGTCTTATACGGTAGGTGGCGGTAATACTCCTAAGCGGAGCAGCCCGTAACAAGAAGTAGTCGAAGGAGAACGTCCTCGTCTCAGTTCTCACGCATGCGCCCATAAGGAAGTAATAGAATAGTCGAATTAAGTCGTTATTTATGTTTTTTTCGCACAAAAAGTATTCTCGTCGCTTGATAAACGTATAATTGAGCTGCTGTAGGCACATGGAATATTTAAACCTTTTCTTTAATGACTTTATGGGCCGTCAAGAGCCAGTCCCTTAGGCATCCTATGTAGGACTGATCCAGCTCTCAGATTCAATCAAAAATATCTTTATTTGTGTTCCGAAGATGAACGAAGGTCTTACGGGGTTGGTACAGCATGGGGGTGAGTAATTATTGACTTAATTTTCATTTTTGGGTGAACTAACCCTTTAAGATAGGATATATGTCCTATACTGTCAGACCATTTGTGAGACCAGCATTGAGATGTTTTAGTTGCCAACGTTTGGGGCATGTGGCAACAGTTTGTAAAGGGAAAAAAAGATGCTGCAAATGTGGCGGAGAACATGATTACGGGCAATGTGGAGAAGGGGTTGAACCCAAATGTTGTAATTGTGGAGGACCACACAGTGCAGCGTTTCTTGGTTGTAAAGCCCAAAAACAAGCTACAGAAGCAATGAGAATCAAAACTGTACAGAATATATCATATGCTCAAGCAGTCAAGCAAGTTCAAGTGACTAATGGAGATTTGATTGAAAATAACATAACCCAGTCTAAAGATACTTGTAGTCATAAGTGTCTTGAGGACGGAAACATACTTGTGATAAACAAGATTAATTTTGTAGCTTTTTTGCAGAAGTCATTAATTGTTCAGCTCAAACAGACAAAAGAACAGAAAAGCTGAAAATTATAATATCTGTAGTGTCTGTCGAACAGATTCAAACGATACTTGGACAAACTGACGGAACAGTAGGGATGGGTGACCGTGATCCCTCGGGAAGTCAAAGAGGTAAAAATAAAATATGAAAATTTTACAATGGAATGCTAGAAGTTTGATTGTGAATGGACAAGAATTTAAAAGATTTGTATATCAGCTTGCAGTTTTACCTGATATTTTATGCATTCAGGAGACTTGGCTTCATCCACAATTAAATTTTAGCATTCATGGCTACAATTTGGTTAGAAAGAATAGAGTTGTTACAAACGGTGGAGGATGTGGGACATTTGTTAAAGAGGGGGTGGCTTTTAGAGAAATAATAGACGCTCCAGGGGAATGTGTGATTGTAGAAGTGTGGACACAGGGAGGGGGATTAAAGGTAGTAAACTTTTATAACCCTTGCAATCATTTATTATTAGAGGATCTAAATAAAATAAGGAGCAAAGCTGGGGACAATTTTATATGGTGTGGGGATTTTAATGCACATAACTCACTTTGGGGAAGTTTATGTACAGATAATAATGGAAGGATTGTAGAAGAGTTTATGGAGGAATTTGGTCAAGTGTGTTTAAATAATGGGAAGGGTACTAGATACAATATTAGGGAGTCATCAAACTTCTTGTATAGATCTAACAATGGAGCTATAGCTTTTGGATTGCCAATGGGAAGTTCTAGACCAATCAACATTAGGAAGTGATCACTTTCCAATAACGTGTGATGTGGGATTGGAAATTTATCAGCAAAATAAAATAGTGCAAAATAGATGGAGCTTTGATAAAGCTGATTGGGATAAATTTAACAGTTTTTGTAATGATGGATTTAAGAATTTTAGCTTAGAAGATGATATAGACCTGTGTACAGAACGATTAAATGAAATTATAAAGGCAGCTGAAGAATCCATTCCTAAATCAGAAGGTAAAGGCAGGTTGAAAATTGTTCCGTGGTGGAATGATGAGTGCACTAAAGCCGATAAAGATAGAAATAAAGCATTTAGAGAGTTAAAGAAAACCTTAATACCCATAACTTTATATATCATGAAACGGGCTCTGGCAAGGAAGATAATAAAGCAGGCAAAAAGGAAGTATTGGCAATCATTCTGCTCCACTACAGGAAGGAAAACCCAAATAGGAGAATTATGGTGTGTCCTTAAAAAGATGGTTGGTGTTTATAGAACTCGGAATATTCCAGTCATAGGTGATGAAGGGAAAACAGCAGTGACGGAAGAAGAAAAAAGCGGAAATGTTAGCTTCCACCTTTCAAAAGGCTCACAGTTCAGATAACATAGGAAGAAATTATAGGATAAGGAGGGAAGAAATTTTAAAGCAACATCAAGATATTTATACAAAAAGAATTGACAGTCAAACAGCTTTGGATGCTGCCTTTAATATGTGGGAACTTAAAAGAGTATTAATGAGGGTTAGAAATACTGCCCCTGGAAAAGATAGAATTTGTTATAGTATGATTAAACAGATGGATGAAGTAACACTTAAAGTATTATTGGATCTTTTTAACAAAATTTGGAAGGAAGGACAACTACCGTTATTCTGGAAACAAGCTGTAGTAATCCCTATTCAAAAACCAGGGAAAGATTCAGCAATTGCTGGAAATTATAGGCCGATAGCTCTGACGTCTAACCTTTGTAAAGTAATGGAAAAAAATGATTGTTAATCGACTTCATTACGTGTTAGAAAGCAAAGGATTAACAGCTCCTGATCAGTATGGTTTTCGACCAGGTGGATCCACTTTAGACGCACTAATAAGATTAGAAACGGATGTTAAAAAGGCTTTAGCAATGAAAGAGGTGTTAGTGGCAGTATACTTTGACATTGAAAAAACATATGATGTGATGTGGAGAGAAGGGTTGCTTTTAAAGTTGCAAAGAATTGGAATTAAAGGAAGATTTTATAATTGGGTTTTAAGTTTCTTATTTGGACGTTCGATTCAAGTCAAGGTAGGCAATTCATTATCTCAGATGGTGAATGTAGGAGTGGGAAGTGTATTATTTAACATAATGATCAATGATATATATGTAGGAATGCATCCAGGAATTAAAACACCATTATATGCAGATGACGGAGCAATTTGGAAGAGGGGAAGAAATGTTGAATATATTGTGAAAAAATTACAAGAAGCAATTGAGAATGTTGAGAAATAGTCAGTGGAATGGGGATTTAGATTCTCTATTTCCAAAATGTGCTGTCAGTTTTTTTACTAAAAAGAGGATTTCAGAAAATATTAAACTTTATTTATATAAACAACCACTAGAAAGGGTCACAAATTTTTAAATATTTAGGTTTATGGTATGACTCAAAATTGACTTGGAAAATTCATATCAAATATATTGAAGAGAAATGCAGCAAAGTACTAAATCTAATGAGATGTATCAACACTATCTCACGACCAATTCGTATGAATTCGACGCATGATTAAAAAGTGGCTAATTCGTACTAATTCGTAAGACCTCACTCGTACTAATTCGTACGATTTGTCTAAACCCACGTGATGGTTAGGTTTAGGGGCGGGGTAAGGGGTAGGTCATTCGTACGAATTCATACGAATTGGCCAATTCGTAAAATATGTACGATTTAGCAAAATCGTATTAATTCGTACGAGTGAGGTCGTATGAATTGTTACGAATTAGCCACTTTTTAGGGACTGATAAACAATCTTTAATCAATATATATTGTGCTCTATTACGATCCATTTTGGATTATGGATGCATTATTTATGGATCAGCATCAATTAGTATGCTAAAAAGGTTAGACTTAATTCAGGCTCGAGCTTTGAGATGCATCACTGGAGCAATTAGAACAACTCCAATCTCAGCAATGCAAGTGGAAACAGGAGAGCCCCCATTAGAAATAAGACGTCAAAAATTATCTGTTGCTTATTGGATCAATTTACTTGGGCATAAACAAATGCAATAGTAGAGGGGAGTTGGGAAACTATAAATTTAACAGGAACAGGATTTGCTTGGAATGCAAAGGAATGGGCTACAGAAATGTCGCTAAATAATATATTATTTTCATCAACGACTACCATTTCTCCAATATCCCCCTGGTTTTTTACCCAACCTGAAGTTGATCTACAAATTCATGAGAGTGTTAAAAAAGGACAATTTGATATTAATACAATTGAATTTTTAAGAACAGTTTATTTCTCATTTCTTCCTGTATACACAGATGGATCAAGAAACCCAGAGATAGGTCGTACTGGATCAGAATTTTATGTTCCTGAATTTAAAATAAGGAAATATAGAAACAGATGGGACTTCTGTGTATACAGCGGAATTGGTGGCAATTCAGATGGCGCTTAGTTGGGTGGAAGAAGTGATGCCAAATAAAGTTGTTATATGTTCAGATTCAATGGCATCACTTATAAGCCAAACATATCAAACAGTTAGATATGACATCTATATAGAAATATTGAATATGTTGTATCGATTAAGGCAAACTGTAACAATAATAAAATTTGTTTGGGTACCATCCCATGCAGATATTCAGGTAATGAAAGAGCTGATAGAATGGCTAAAGAATCACTTAAATTGAACATTCCTACTATTACAGTTGCATTAAGCAGGATGGAAGGGAAGAGTATTATTAAAGCTGCCTGCAACCAGAAATGGCAAAGAAAGTGGAATGAATGTAAAACAGGAAGACATTTTTATAGACCATTTTGCAAGATGTAAACAACACTGGTCCAGAAGCACTTCCTGTTTCAGTTTTTAACACTACATAAAAGCTGGGATAAAATACAACCAACAGAACATATAAAACTGAATCAAAAAGTTAAACAAACATCTTTAAGATGTTTTCTTTACATGTGAAATAAAGAAAACAGTTACAAACTGAAACAGGAAGTGTTTCTGGACCAGTGTTGTTTACATCTTGCAAAATGGTCTATAATCTACACAATACTGTAAGACAAAGTATATTGACACAAAATTTGAAGAGAGAAGATCAGGTTATTTTAACAAGACTAAGGATGGGACATACAAAACTTAATTCAACACTTCATATTATAGGGAAACATGGTACTGGTTTATGCGAAATATGCCAAGTAAAGGAAACAGTTCAACATGTGTTATTTTGTTCCAGGTATGAACAGGAAAGAAAGGATTTAATAAGTGAACTAAAGGAAATGGGATGCAAAGAATTTACAATCAATAACATATTGAACACAAAACAAGGATCCAGGGAAATTGTAAGGTCAGTTTTAAAATTCATAAAGCATGGTGTTGGTCTAGGACTAGAATATAGTCCTCTTTTAACATACTTCTAGTCAGACTGAAATCACTTCACACTCCAGCACAGGTGGTGGCGGTATGCACCATAAAGTTGGTATGCAACCCGCCAATAAATCCATGGAAGAAGAAGAAGGGGCGGGGCCAGAGGGGTACTGGCCAGAACTGAAATCTGATTGGCTCCTGAAGTGGCCTTGGCCTGTCAATCATGATCTCGCGCGCGCTCATGATTCAAACAAGGACGTGTTGTCGAATCAAAAGCATTTCAAGTAAGTGTTAAAAATGAATGTGCACAGTTCAGCTGAGTGATAAAGTGCAACCTTTAACTTTAAACGCCGTTGAAGCTACTTTAAAACTCCTGCTAAAATAAAAGTTTAAATAAAACGGGATCTAGCGAGTGTAAGATGGGTTTGTTTGCAACATTAGCATGTAGCAATGATTAGTATCGACAGATAGAACAATTGGCATTTTGTTTATAATTATAGTAATATAAAGATACTCACGGTACGTAGAGTTGTGTTAAAGTGTTTGGTTGAAAATAAATGTTTTATTTTTTATGTTGGGCTATAATTAACTGAAGTGAGCCAGAAAGAGAATAAACAGGGCAATGTCTTGCAATAAGGATGAAACTTACTTTAAGTTATTTATTTTTTATTTTTATTACAGATGTTTAGTATTACCGTTTCGCATTTTAATTGTCATTAAAAACCTAATTACAATATTGCAATAATGTATGTTCTAATCTAATTTATACTCGAAGCCAAAGTGTGCCTTCGTGCATAAAGTACAAGTTAGACTTTTCTTTTATTAGAGCTTTCAAAATCTAACAATAGTGGTATATAAAGACAGTTTTAGAGAAAAGTAAAAAAAAACAACCATATATGAAGAGTTCAGATGCAAAAGCCTCTAAATGCCATTTGAAATTTTCTTCTTTAATGATGATTTTTATCAAACTTGTATATTTAAGTTCAGTAATTTCCTTAAATGGCAATGATAATTACTTAATTTGTATTAAGTGAAATTACTGATTAAATATACAAGTTTATAAAAATCATCATTAAGAAGAAAATTTCAAATGGCATTTAGAGGCTTTGCATCTGAACTCTTCATATATATTATATATATATATATATATATAATATATATATATGTTTACATTTAGTGCTGTGAAATCGATTAATTGCATCTAACAAAAGTTTTTGTTTACATAATATTTATATAGATACTCTGTACTATAATATGTAAACGATTTTTAAGTTAGAATGCACGTTTAATCAATTTGACATTTTACAGCATTTTGTTTTTGAGATTTATAAAATGTCTTGTTTACGCATTGCTGAACTTCTGATTTCAAAATTAAAAACAGTGGTTTATGATCACCATAATTACATTTTTAAATGGAAAAATTCTGTAGGCTAATATTATGTTGTTGATCACAAAATGTACAAATATCACAACATTTTACGAAGAAGATAACTACGTGCAATAAACACAAACACACGATTGCAGCAATATATGGTTTTTAGAATATTGAAAAATAATGTATTTTTACCTCAATCTGTAACAAGCCTCATCAGATCATAAAATAAGTAGTTTCTAACATTTGCTGGATTAAAAAAAAAGTTTTATAGCAAAATCATTATTCATTTTCTAAATTGATGTCTGTTGATGAAAAAGCTTTGATGGGTGTAATAATTATACAAGAATACAAATTGTAGCAGCACGGAATAGGAATAAAGGGACAGAAATTGTCTAATTTTAGTATCTTTGTTTCAGACCTGATGACCGAGACAAAGTGAAGTGGAAGGGAAGCGCCTGTGGGATCCGACACATCATCATCTCGAGACAGAGAGACGTACTCTTCCTCCTGATCTCAGTGCGGAAACACGGAAATCAGCCTGTTCTCTTCTGGTCTGGCTGTTAAGAGGTGATGCACTCTTTTATCATGTACGTTACATAAGAAAAAAAGAACAAAACCTCATACTTTGATTTACGTTATTACTGAACACATTTTCTTCAGGCAACTGGGTTTAAATTGTGTATAAATTGAGAAAACTTGTGACAATTCCCATTACATACATAGTGTACTTTAATTAACCCTTCTTTGACTTCTGATTTATGAAATCTTTCACAGCAAAGTTTTGGTCCGTTAACACTTCCATGACTTCCTAACTTTACTTTTCTGATATATGGAATATTGTACAATACATTTTGGCCAGTTAAACCTTCCTTAACTACACTTTTCTGATTTGTGAAATCTTTCAAAGTACAGTTTTGGTCTGTTAACCCTTCTTTAAAACTTTCACGGGCTGCTTTTCAAGGCCGATTTAGTTTTTTTCATTGAGTTTGACCTGTCGATTCTGAATTAATTTTTTTCTAACCACTTTACAGCTAACACAAATATTTATATTTTCTATATATTTTTTTGTATAAAACCCCATATCCTTTTACCCAAACTGAATTAACAAGTTTAAATAGGTACATTTTCTAGAAATATTTTTGAGTCTTTGTTTTCTTTTCTTTTCCATTTCTGGTTAAAACTCACTAGACATGCTTATTCTGTGAATTTTAGGCACTTTTATTGTGTGAAATCATATTTATTTTGTCCATCAAAAGTGTGCTTTCACTTTAACTGAGCGTGAACAGCGCTGGAACAATAGAGTCGATGCCGAAACCCACTCTTCACTGCTGCTCGTGCGACGCTCCTGGTCCCGGTGTGAATGCACACATTGACTAACGTGCACGCTGAATGCACCCCGCTCATGCTTGTGGTGTGACCCTTATTTTTACTGCACACGTCTGCGGCACGTTATGGCTCCGAAAAGTTTTTATTCTGTCCTCCACGCCAGTGTTGTAGTACTCGAGACTCGGACTTGTCTCGGACTCGGTCTCGAGACCATATTTTAATGGTCTTGGTCTTGTCATGGACTCGTGTGCATTTGGACTCGGAATTGACTCGTACTCGAACATTTTTTTTTTTAGGACTCGGACTTGTTCCCGAGTCCACTCGAGTTCAATTAAAAATATTTATCATGATTATTAATGTATGTTAATAAAATATTTCTTTGAATTGATTGACACGCCCAGTGATTGGTGATTTTCTAGTGCACAACTGCGCATGACAAATTGTAATAAAATTACTTTTAACACCACCTACTATGTGGCCTTTTTGCCCTAAACTGATCATATTTTTTAAACTCTTAAGTAAATTCAGTAAAATAAAAAAAGGATTTCTCTAAGTAAATAAAAGTAAATTAGGTAATAACCCTCACTGATCTCGGTCTCGACTCGGACTCGACCGTCTCTGGTCTCGGACTCGACTTGGACTCGACTCTCTATGGACTCGGTCTTGACTCGGACTCGACTCTCTCTGGTCTCGGTCTCGACTCGGACTCGAGTGAGGTGGTCTCGACTACAACACTGCTCCACGCGGTGCCAGCTCACACCAGGAGCATTTCAGAAGCAAAGCCACTGGATGCGCGAGTCCATGCGATTTGCCTGTCTGACATGGTTTTTCTTGATTTCTGGGTTTCTACTTTACAGTCTATGGTTTCTACCAATTGGTGTGCAATACAATTTGGGGTCTGCACAGGATGTTTATTTTGAAATTGACAGTGTTTTTTTTACTTTTATTTTGTATTTACGGTGCAGCTTGGACGCGGCGTCCGTCAAAAATAGATTTGTCACCCATCTTTAGTGAGGCTCGCGGACAGCTGCTTTTGAAACTGGCTGGTGTAAATCAAGCGTGCCGCACAAGCACTGAAAATTGAAGCCAAAATGCTTTGATCGTCCCCTGGTGGCCGTATCTAGTATAGGTCATAAACCCCGCCTCCCCGTGTTATTCAACGTCACGTGAGACAATTAACAATTACACTTCACAACTAAACAATTAAATTACACTTCAAATATCTTTTTTCCAAAGATGATTTCTGTCGTTTACTGTAGTCTTTATCATGCTGATGTAATTTCAAGTGTTTGTTTTTAAAATAGGTTTGTTCTTAGTTAGTTATTTGTTGCGGTGGTGTGGCGTCATTTTTAGAGCGAAAGAAGGTCCATTAAATACACAGGAGCTAAACCATTTAGGGCTTTATAGGTCAATAGTGGTACTTTGTAATTGATACGGAACTTAATAGGTAACCAGTGTAGAGATGATAAAATCGGTGTTATATGATCATATTTTCTTGACCTAGTAAGAACTCTAGCAGCTGCGTTTTGTACTAACTGTTGCTTTTTTATTAAAGGGTTAGTTCACCCAAAAATGAAAATTAAGTCATTAATTACTCACCCCCATGCTGTACCAACCCCGTAAGACCTTCGTTCGTCTTCGGAACACAAATGAAGATATTTTTGATTAAATTTGAGAGCTGTATAACTACCACATTGGCTCCTAAGGGACTGCCTCTTGACGGCCCAGAAAGTCAATGAAGAAAATGTTTAAATATCCCAAGTGACTACCGTGGCTCAACTATATGTTTATCAAGCGACGTGAATACTTTTTGTGCGAAAAAACAAACAAAAATAACGAGTTTATTCGACTATTTCTTTTCTTCCTTGTAGGCCAGAACGAGAATTCCTTAGATTTCCACGACGCATGCGCGAGATTTGCGATCTGCTTACACCAGATTAGATCGCAATTCTCGCGCATGCGTCGTGGAAATCTATAAGGAAGTCTCGTTCTGGCCTACAAGGAAGAAAAGAAATAGTCGAATAAACTCGTTATTTTTGTTTGTTTTTTCGCACAAAAAGTATTCGCGTCGCTTGATAAACATATAGTTGAGCCACGGTAGTCACTTGGGATATTTAAACATTTTCTTCATTGACTTTTTGGGCCGTCAAGAGGCAGTCCCTTAGGAGCCAATGTGGTAGTTATACAGCTCTCAAATTTAATCAAAAATATCTTCATTTGTGTTCCGAAGACGAACGAAGGTCTTACGGGGTTGGTACAGCATGGGGATGAGTAATTAATGACTTAATTTTCATTTTTGGGTGAACTAACCCTTTAAGGATGCAGGACAACCGGCTAATAAAGCATTACAGTAATCTAATCTAGAGGTCATGAATGCATGAACTAACTTTTCTGCATCAGAAACAGATAGCATGTTATGTAGCTTAGGCAATGTTTCTAAGGTGGAAAAAGGCTGTTATTGTAACATATGAAATATGATTTTCGAAAGACAAGTTGTGGTCTAGTATAACACCCAGGTCTTTTAATGTAGTGGATAAAGTAACAGGACATCCGTTTATATTAAAGTTGTATTGTAAGAGGTTTTGTGAGTAGTTTTTTGGACCAATAAGTAATACCTCCGTTTTATCTGAATTTAATAACAGGAAATTACACGTCATCCAGCATTTTATATCTTTGAGACACTCTGTCAATTTAGATGAGTTAGTGTTTTCATCTGGTCGTGATGAAATATATAATTGAGTGTCGTCAGCATAACAGTGGAAATTAATTCCGTGTTTTCTCATAATATTACCAAGTGGCAGCATATATATTGAGAATAGCAGAGGGCCTAAAACCGATCCTTGCGGTACTCCATAGTCTACAGACGTTATCTTTGATTTTTCCCTGTTTAAACAGACAAAATGATAACGGTCCGATAAGTACGATCTAAACCAGATCTTAATGCCTGTCCCTGGACACCAGTGTAGTTTTGTAGTCGATCCAAGAGTATTTTACGATCTATAGTGTCGAACGCAGCGCTAAGATCAAGTAGGACTAGTATTGAGACACGGCCTTGGTCAGAAGCTAAAAGTAAATCATTTGTAATTTTAACTAGCGCAGTTTCTGTACTATGATGCGGTCTGAAGCCTGACTGGAATTTTTTCATAGATATCATTTTCTTGCAAAAAAAGAGCACAATTGAGCGGACACTACTTTTTCTAGTATTTTGGACATAAATGGAAGATTTGAAATGGGTCTATAATTTGCCAAGTTATTTGGATCATTTGGTGGTTTCTTAATGAGAGGCTTTATTACTGCCAGCTTGAATATTTTAGGAACATGACCTTAAGATACAGACAAGTTAATAATATTGAGGAGAGGCTCTTCCACTACAGGTAACATTTCTTTCAGTAGTTTAGTGGGTATTGGATCTAATGAATATAATGTAATAATAATCAGCTGATTGTCTCACAAACGTAGCCTGCACATTTCTCCCCACATAGCAAACCCATAATACAGTGAGGGAGAAGAACCACATGAAACTATGCAACTATAATTTTTTTCTAACAGGGTAGTAAAATCGCAATGATCCGCATGATCGCAAAGGTGCGAAAGGTGCGATCAAAAATGACATGATTGTAACAGCGCGTGTGCGCCTCCACATCCCATAGACACCATTTAGTACACACAATAGCCTTTTTTTCTGATTTTGAAAACTCTTCGTGATTGACTTAAAATGATCAAGATCGACGGGTTGGTTATTCCTGTAACATACTGTTTTACGGTCGGTCAATAACAAGAGTACTAATCAGTAGGGCTGAAACGATTAGTCAACATTGTCGACAACGTCGACTAAGAAATTGTCGACAAATATCCTTGTTGTCGAGTAGTCGTTTGATCTCACGTGACTAATGTAAGGGCGTACAATATCACGATTTGACCACTACGGCGCTGTAGCGCTAGAGTGTAATGCAGCCCTTTACAAATGCTATTGCGGTCAAAGAAAAAACAGCGCGAATTATGACGGAGTGCAAACGAATCTGAACTAGCAAAGTTTGGGAGAGTTTCGCAAAACTTCAAACCAAGAAAGCTGTCGTGTGAAATACATGCAAGGCGGAACTTGCTTTTCACAGGAGCACAACATGCATGTTGGAGCACTTAAAGAGGAAACATCCCGGCAAAAGAGAAGCCGGTGAGAATTGAGTGTTCTCCAGCTGGAGCTAGCGGTAAATCTCTTTATTAGAAAATAAGGGTGCTCCGATTGATTGGTCGCTAGGGCTGTCGCGGTTATGGAATTTCCCTTGCGGTAATGTTGAGTGGCTCAATAGCGCGATATGCGGTATTACCGCCATTTATTTATTTATTTATTTAATTTATAAGTATTTGTTGCTATATAAATACATTTTACGATGTGTACAAAAACGAGGTCACTTAACCAATAACCGAAACTAAACAGCGTCTATATGCGCATTGAAAACATGATTGAAAGGCTTTAATTCACTCAGCGCATATTGTTATGACAACGGACTTTGAACCGTTCATTCAACGAACACGTTCAAAGAAGCTGATTCGTTAAAAGAGATGTAATGAAACAAGATGTTAATTATTTTTAACTTTGAGTTCCACTTTTCAAGGCTCAGCTGATCAGCAATGCGTCGCATGGGTAACGCGGAAGCTGATGCTTCACTTATTAGAGACCAATATAGGCTAGCATTGATTCAATGCGTGACTCGGTGATATTATTTTCCGCGGCTTCCTCGCGCTGTGGGATGCTGACCAGCGCTGCTGCTGACGCGCATTTGTGGAAAATACCCGTGACGTGAAGCTTAAAATGATGATACGACAAATATTTCGCTTTCCTTTGACACGGCAACCTTTTCACGACTTCAAAGACAGAAGCAGGTAATCGCATGCGCTCTGCAGATCTCTCTCATTCACTGTCTGCATGTGTGAAGCCTGTAGGCTACACATCACCAAGATAAACAGTCTTGTTGTTATCATTATGAACTTGTTTAATATTCAATACACATGCATGAAGTTCAAAACAAGAAGAAGCCTTATAAAAAAAAAACGTGAATATCGCGGTTGCTGCGGTTACGTGCAATCCTCTGCGGTTGACTTGTCAGAAGCGCGGTACTGCAATTTTGCGGTTATCGCGACAGCCCTATTGGTCGCCAATCACAATCGGCTGATAATTGCTTTGGGATGTGTGATCGGCGGTCTCTATAAAGGCCGATCAGATGACGCAAAACTCGGGAGACAAATTTTTATGCCCTGGTAAATATGGCTTCAGCAGTCTGGCAATTCTACAAGGTGTGTGAAAAAGCAATTTACTAGCAATCCATATGCTATGTGTGTACCACGCTGCTTTCCGCTTGTCAAACTGTGCAGCCTATCAACCCGTAAAATCACTGGAAAGAATAGACGAATCCAACGAGCGTTCTGTGTAGGCTGCCATCTTGTGGCGACGCCATTACTGAGCTGTTACACAGGCATATAGACATATGCACCGGTATGTAAACAAACCTCGGTGATAACGCGAACTCACCCTTGATGACAGCTACAGCCAGGCAGAATGACTTGTTGGTTTGATCTGTGACTGCAGTGGCCTCCAGTCACAGATGAAGGTACAAACGATCTTACAGATTAACGTTATTTATGAAAATAGCTTGGCAAGCTAGCTAGGCTAACGTTTGCTAACGAGGAAACTATAAAAAGATCTGTCCATTTGGCAACAATAAATAAATAAATGAATGAAATCAAATAAACAAATTCATGTTTTTCATTTGTGTCCATTTATCTCATTTTCACATTGCAACAGGCAAGGGTAAGGTAACGTTACAGATAGAAAGTATACATAATATCGACCAATTAGTGTTTTTAAACCATGGAAAGAGGTCAATATAACAGCGGGAGAACAATTATGTCACATAACGTTACATTTAGCTCAGGAAAGCCATTTAATGACCATAGCATGTTAATTTAATAGAAAAAATAGCAAGAGAGGAGATTTTGCTGATCACTATATCACATATTTATTATATTTTTTTTTTTACTTATGTCATTAAATAATTGTTATTATACGCGAATGTCCGCGTCTTGTACTCGCCCAGGAAATCTGTTAACCGTATGGCACCAGACAGGGGCAGGGGCAGTCGACCCGGGGTATTCACAATGTTTTCTCTTCAAAATTTAAATTTTACTGCCACCATTGAAACAATTTATAACGGAAACTGTTTACCCACTCGACATTATACAAGGGATAACGTTGTAACGTTAGTGACAGTCGTAAATCGCGGGCTGTTTATTCCAGTGGACGCAAGTTGCAACTAAAACAATAGGAGGCAATGGCGCAACGCTACCCAGCAACAGCTCAGTAATGGCGCCCCGCTTACTTCCGGTAGTTTCGCCGGATTCGTCTATAGAGTCTGTCCACAACGGCGATAGATTGAAGTGCACGTCCGAGTAAAGACTGCGCGAGATACAGAGAACACTGTATCCACTGATCGCCACGGCAATGAGCGCGCAGCTTGAGTTCAAAAACAAACAAACACATTTTAGTGCTAGATTTCGATTTGATTTTGAATCCGCTGCTAGTTAACTGGAGATGTTTTATTTGTATAAGGTACATCCGTGACTAGGTACATTTGTATTAGGTATACATCCATGCAATTCTTAATCTGTTTAAAATAATTCAAATATTGATGCTTAAGAAGTAAGCTTTGGGAGAGGAATTAATCTAAAAATCTCTACTCTCTCTTTCTCTATCTCTCTCTTCTTCTCTAAATACCCACAAAATCTAACTAAGCATCCCAGAAAAAAAGCAAAGTTCTAGATATATACAGATGTGGAAGTTGTTAGTTATTTGTATTTTTTGTTGCTGCTGTGCACTTTAAAACCTGTGGTCCTTTAAGTGCATAAGCGATGATTACGCGGGGGATGTGCCCCCCTCCACACACACACACACACACACTTTTTATACAATGTAAATTCGTCCCCCGCACTTTTTCATAGGGCAAGTGTGTCAACGACAAGCTGAAGTTTTCGCAGGTTTGTATACCCTACATCGAGATTTAAAATCCAAAGAGTCAAGGATAGTTTATCTATATACGTGACTTTCACATTTCCATGGTAATCAGTCACTCATGATTAGACCCTCCCTCCGCCGCATCTCATCTCCTCCCCCTCCCTTCCGTCCTTCCTGAAATAATTGTGAACGTGCATAGTTCTAGCTAATTATATCCTTGTGTGGGTTTGGCGAACATAAAGCGTCAATTTAGATGAAAAAAAAACAATTTAACGTTACCCACCTGTCCAGCAAAAACTGGAACTGGAAAAAACGGACTGGAAGCCCTTCTGCCGCCGGAGTTCTCGCCATCGTTCAAAAGCTTTGCTACCGATGTAAATTCGGAACTTCGCACGTTCTTTATCCGACTCCTCCTTCTTTTTAATTTGTTCTTCAGAACGACGTCTATTTGGTCGTGTGTCGGCCATTTTTCAAACTTCCCTCTGATGCTTCGCTGCTCTCCATTACACACACACACCCTTCATGTGCATGCGCACTAACCCCCCCAGACCCACCCTCAAATACTTCTTGCCAGTGATTGGCTGGAACGCTGTTTGTTAGGTTTCGTGGTCCGGGTGAGACATGATTGTTTTTGTTGCCGTTTGTGGAGCCTGTGGTGTCTACAGAGACCGCGTTTTTTTACAGTGTGTTTAGGGGACAGGCAGCTAGCCGATAGTGAGGAGACGTTTGATGTATGTGACAAAAACATTTTTGGCCCCACATCGCTTAGAGAACCTTTAAACTACTTAGTCAACACTAACAGTAGCTGCTGTTTGGTTTTCATATTGCTGCTCTCCTTCTAGTCACTTCTAAACCTGATAAATTTGACACTTCTGAACTCTTGATTAAAGCTCAGGGTGACAGACGGGTTGCCGGATATCACAAAAAGAGCAAAACAAGTCCCTTAAAAACGCAGTATAATAAGCACATATGGTAAAAATAGACCGGGGAACACATTTAAACATAACTAGTATTACTAATATCCTACAAAATTAAAAGGAAGTAACTAATTTATTATGAATAGAATAGTTCAATATAAAATATTTAGATATTATACTGTTATTATATTATTAACTGATTGATGAAGTAAAGCAATGCATGAGACTGAAAATTATTCAGCAACACTTTTTTTAAAGTTTAAATGTACCGATGAGTTGTATTGAATATCAGTGTGTTGTGGGAAGTTCATCAAAAAAAATGATGTGTTTTGTTTACTATATTTTGCTATCAAAATAGTTTACCAATGAAATAATTTACCAAATAAAATAAACATTTATATTTTTTGTTATAATGATTTCTAATTCTAAGTATTTTGACGATTTTTCGAGGATAACTGTGTGTGTATATATATATATGTATATATATATATATATATATATATATATATATATATATATATATATATATATATAAATAACTATATTGTGAAATATATTGTTACTGTAAAATATAATCAGTTATACCATGAAAGAAACTTTTGGTCATACCGCCCACCCCTACTCTGAGTCATCCTTTCTAAAGTCCTCCTTTTTGCCCCGTCTTCACTAAAACGGCCTTCGGAGATTTAATGCGCAAAACAGGGAGCGTTTCTAAACTTCTCCGTTTTAGGTCTTTGTTTTGCCGTTTTAGTCTGAACGGGAGGTGCAAGCGTATCAAAAGATAAAATAAAGTGTAGTAGTGTGGATGGGGCCTAAGCAGTCAAGTGGAAAGAGGTTTCTTTTTTCTTTTTCTTTAAATAAAAATAAAAACATGACTTGGTAAACGACATGTTCAGATAACATAAATGGAGAAAATTCTCAATCAGCATATGCTCTTTGTTCTCTCTGGTGCCTCCATCGGACCGGTTAACGGACTAAAAATGACTAATTTGTTAAATTCATTATTTAGTGCTCTGAAAGACTGAACTGTGAAATATTTCTTAAATCACAATAGTCTTTGAGCCTAGAGCGTGACCTGACTAGTGACGGCTTTCAAACATAGATGCTGATTTATTTAATGGCTCGAACAATTGGGCCGTTTCAAACTGCAAACTATCCTTGGCCGACGCCTTAAACCGCGGATAATCTCGAGTGATTGTAAGTGTGATGATCATCTGCTAAATGAGCAACAACGACCACAATTCACTCCTTCAGTCAGTGAAACTCCCACAGCCGTTCATGAGAGTTTAAATTCTGGGGAATATCCATCTTCCCACAGAAGAAGAAGCAAGCAGGAGGAATTACTCCAGGAGAAACTACAGACATATTATTGTAAAGATGGAGATTAAGGAAGAACCCTGCAGAATAAAAGATGAAGATACAGAGGAGCAAATAGGTTGGTGTTTTCCTTCATTCTCTTTAATGACTCATGTGGAACATTAAAGACCAATTCACACAGACAGACGCAGATCCATGCAGTGAGTCACCAGATTACGGACATCGCGATACCAAAAACTAGTAGTCTGTAGGACTGACACCACTATATGGTAAAAAAGAAAAAAAACCATACTTAAGTTACTTGAACATTAACAACAATACTTAAACATTAACTGCTTTATATGTTTTATACATATTTTTATACATATTTTTTTTTAATAAATGACAATAAACTCAATTTTTGCTCACTCACTTTTTTATTAAGTTATTTGTTGCCATAATCAGCAATAAAACAATGATTAAACACATTGGAAGCTGTAGCATAAATAAAAAAACTATAGATTAAAGATAATTAAGCAATGCTGTTTATTTTCTTCAGGTATATGTCTCACAGTAGTATTCAAGTAAAAATACCACTATTTTTTATTGTTTGATTGTCATTATTAACACAGACAGCCAATAGTTTTAAAGGCTGATGTCACTTCAGACGTAATGAATGGGGACATGCTTTTACACATAATTAATAATAATTCATTACATTTATATGTATTTATATATACATCCTGGTCACGTTCATGAGAGTTTAAATGCTGGGGAATATTCCCATCTTCCCACAGGAGAAGCAGCTACAAACTACGGACATACTATTGTAAAGATGGAGATTAAGGAAGAACCCTGCAGAATAAAAGATGAAGATACAGAGGAACAAATAGGTTGGTGTTTTCCTTCATTCTCTTTAATGACTGATGAGGAACATAAAAGACCAATTCACACAGACAGATGCAGATCCATGCAGTGAGTCACCAGATTACGGACATCACGATACGATACCACTATATGGTAAAAAAGAAAAAAAGTTAAACATTAACTGCTTTATATGTTTTTATACGTATTATTTTTTTTAAAAATAAATGACAATAAACTCAACAAAATGTTTGCTCACTCACTTTTTTATTAGGTCATTTGTTGCAATAATCAGCAATAAAACAACGATTAAATACGTTGGAAGCAGTAGCATAAATAAAATCATTGAAATATTAATTCTAATTTAAGCTATTTTTGATTGTTTGATTATCATTATTAACACAGACAGCCAATAGAAGGATATTTGTTGACATCATTGTACGCATGCGCGAGTCATTGGGTGGCAAGAAAACAATAGAATGACCGGCTGTAAAGACGCGACAAGCACTTTCAAGAGAGTTTAGCAGGCAAAATCCACAATATATAAGCACTTTAATATCTGACGACCGGAGGAGGTTTGGAGAGAAGCTCAAAATTTGTATTGGTGACAAAATTGAAGTTATTCAAAGCCCATATGTGATTTGGGATGTCAAAAAACGTCAGTCCGACTCGTCCGTGTCTTGGCCACTATAATCTGCTGGGGAGACATTTATTCCAATTTAATAGAAACCCCTGGACCCTTCACTCATGAAAGATTAAAGGCTTTCAAAAGTCGGGAGGCCTATGATTATTTTGTTTCTCGAAAAGTTGTGTCGATCTTTTCTGCCAAACAGAAAGCAGTGATAGTGCTAAAAGCAACATGACATCATGACTTTTGCTTAAACATACACGCCACTTTCAAATCAAGTGGCGTGTTATCTTTATGCATTTTGAGCTATGCGTGTATGTCTATGCAATTAAATGAAGCGAAACGAAGCAAAATGTAGATCTACATCTGGGGAGCGATATGGTAACGTTAGGGGAAGACTCATAAATGGTATTATCACAGTGACGGGTAGGTTTAGGGACGGGGTTGGGGTAGGTCATATTTATATACAGTAATGTAACATTAAGTCAATGGTGTTCATAAACACGCTGAAAAGCGATTATGCGTGTTGGAAATACGAATTGGCGTGTTATACATGCGCCATTTCATGAGATCAGTCTAAAGCCCTATGGTTAAAGCAGAGGTAAAGTTAGGTTAGACCTGGCCAAGCAAAGTCACAGCGTGATTCGCATCTCCCGTGGGTGATCGCAGAACGGAGAAATAATCACTGCTCACTGCAAAGCCGGGTAAGTCTTCATTGATCAGTGTTCTTATTTATTTAAAATGAAATGAAGAACTTTTTATCAGGCTCCCAACAAGCCGTACAATCGACCACACAGCAAGAGTGAACCATCCTCTTCTCTAAATCCTCCTCCAAACATGCAAAACAATCAAATTACAGGTATCTAGCGGGATTTCTTGCCACACGATTCCCATGATGCAACGCGACAAACGTAAACAATGACGTCACAAAAGATCCTCCTTTAGACAGCAGTTTTAAAGGCTGATGTCACTTCAGACTTAATGAATGGGGACATGCTTTTACACATCCTGGTCACATTCACGTTCATGAGAGTTTAAATGCTCAGGAATATTTACATCTTCCCACAGGAGAAGCAGCTACAAACTACGGACATACTATTGTAAAGATGGAGATTAAGGAAGAACCCTGCAGATTAAAAGATGAAGATACAGAGGAACAAATAGGTTGGTGTTTTCCTTCATTTTCTTTAATGACTGATGAGGAACATAAAAGACCAATTCACACAGACAGACGCAGATCCATGCAGTGTGTCACCAGATTACGGACATCACGATATGATACCACTATATGGTAAAAAAGAAAAAAGTTAAACATTAACTGCTTTATATGTTTTTATACATATTTTTATACGTATTATTTTTTTTTAAATAAATGACAATAAACTCAACAAAATGTTTGCTCACTCACTTTTTTATTAGGTCATTTGTTGCAATAATCAGCAATAAAACAACGATTAAACACATTGGAAGCTGTAGCATAAATAAAAAAACTATAGATTAAAGATAATTAAGCAATGCTGTTTATTTCAAATATTAAATTACTCTGCATAATCATAACTGTATCATTGAAATATTAATCCTAATTTAAGCTATTTTTAATTGTTTGATTATCATTATTAACATAGAGAGCAGTTTCAAAGGCTGATGTCACTTCAGACTTAATGAATGGGGACATGCTTTTACACATCCTGGTCACATTCACGCTCATGAGAGTTTAAATGCTGGGGAATATTCACATCTTCCCACAGGAGAAGCAGCTACAAACTACGGACTTACTATTGTAAAGATGGAGATTAAGGAAGAACCCTGCAGAATAAAAGATGAAGATACAGAGGAACAAATAGGTTGGTATTTTCCTTCATTCTCTTTAATGACTGATGAACATTCAGATGAAAACTCACTTACAAAATCTAGACACTAGACTCAGCTGTGAAGTCTTTTTTTGTATATAAGCTCACTTATTACTGTTTGTTCATTTTTGGCTTTGATTTCAGACTCGATGGAAGTAAAAACAGACAAACGGCAACAGTTTCAAAAACCTCAACAACTAAAAAATGGAAATGCTGCCAATTTACAGACTGAAGGGAACCGCAAACAAAAACTAGCTGAAGAGAAGCGCAAACACAAACTAGCTGAAGAGAAGCGCAAACAAAAACTAGCTGAAGAGAAGCGGAAACAAAAACTAGCTGAAGAGAAGCGCAAACACAAACTAGCTGAAGAGAAGCACAAACAAAAACAAAAACGAGCTGAAGAGAAGCGCAAACAAAAACGAGCTGAAGAGAAGCGCAAACAAAAACAAAAACGAGCTGAAGAGAACAGCATACACAAACTGGCTGAAGCGAACCGCAAACATAAACTAGCTGAAAAAGCTGTATTCAAGGGACCTTTTCCTTGCTCTCAGTGTGGAAAGAAGTTCATGCTTAAAGGAAACTTAAATGAACACATGAGGATTCACACTGGAGAAAATCTGTTCTCGTGCTCTCAGTGTGGAAGGAGTTTCACTCTGATAGGACACTTAAACGTGCACATGAGATCTCACACTGGAGGAGGATCGTTCACCTGCTCTGAGTGTGGAAAGAGTTTCATGAAGGAAATAAGCTTACGTTTGCACATGAAATCTCACACTGGAGAAATATTCACATGCACTCAGTGTGGAAAGAGTTTCCCATCCCAAAAAAGGCTCAAAGCTCATTCGCTCATTCACGCCGAAGTGAAGCCGTTCAGCTGTGATCAGTGCGATAAAACATTTTTTGTTATATCAGGCTTAAAATCACACCTTAAAGTTCATTCTGGTGTGAGGCCTTACCTTTGTTCTGTATGTGGAAAGAGTTTTCCACATCTGCCTTATTTTCGATTGCATATGAATTTTCATAATGGTGTGAAACCTCATTTGTGCTCTTACTGCGGGAAGACCTTCACTTTGTCCAGCGACTTGAAAAAACACCAGAGGATTCACACTGGAGAGAAACCGTACAAGTGTTCACACTGTGAAAAGTGTTTCTCTCAGATAGGAGCCGTAAAATCTCATGAGAGAACTCATACTGGAGAGAAATTGAAGCGAAATATTCATAAGAAAAAGCGTTGCCTGAAGTTGTCTAGTAAAAAAAGAACTTGTTCAGATCCGTCGCTTTCAAGCAAGTAGTTTGATATTCTGATAAAGCAAAATATGGTATTCTTGCAGCAACAGCATCTGACGGAGAAATCTGTGTGTTCAATTCAGGGAAAATTGTTTAAAGTTGTAAATTGTGAGGAGGTCAAAATGCCTCAATTTAATAGGAATGCTTTAGTTTCTGTTGGGGAGTAAATGTAGTAAGACTAACTGATTGATCATGAGTCTGTTAAAGGTGGAATACCTAAGATTTTTGCATTAAAATATACCAAAATCACAAGGCCAGTGTTATATATTTAGTTAAGATAATAACTTACAATATTCCAAATGTTTCAAACAATGTTTAAATCGCGAGAAAATTGAGATTTTAACCAAGGAAACGGGGCGTGTGAGCAGGGGTGAGCTGGGAGTCGCCAGTCAATCGCGTCATATCCGCTTACCTCGGTTTCCGCTCGTACTACGTGTAGTCCTGGACAAATGCGGAAGTTGTAGTTGTGCGTTAGTGTCTATCAAGCAACAAACGTCAGCTTGTTTCGCGCATTTATTATGGAATGGAGCACAATTATTCTTTTCATTTATTCTCGGAATGTGAACTGATGGCTGTAAAGGGGGTCGCACACCGGACGAGAAGCGCCGCGCCACGTTTAGGACAACTCCACAGTAACGTTATCGAACACCGGACGCACACTTTCTCATCAGTGTATGGCCAGAAATATTGTATGTTTAATGACAGGAAATGAAGATAATGTCTGTTCTATGTTATGATTGTACTGTACAATTAAATACAATCGTTGCTGAGTCTGCATTCTGAAAACTTTACCTCAGATCATCCGTTAACTGAATTGAGAATCTCACCTGAAAATAACACCAGCAATTGTCATTCAAGCAGCTGAAATGAATGCAAAACTAAATGCATATTGGAGCATAGGGCGAAGTCAGGATCCATTAGCAACGATTTGAGAATTGTTTACAAAACTATGTAAATGGCGCTCTGTGGCGCAGCAGAATTTTGAACACGGTCCTGAGGCGTTGCTGGGCGCCGCGGACAGACGCCGAATGGCACCGCCAGTATGTGTACACTTAAAGAGAATAATGTGTTCGAATTTTAAATAGGGACTTTAAGCAACAGCCTCTGGTGGAACGGCAACGGCATTCTGACGGTCTATTGCGCATGCGCGACATTAACTGCTCCTTCGCGACGTTCTACTGTAACCGTCTACTACGGGAGAACAGCTGATTTGCCGTAGTCGTTAATACGTGACAGAATAAGAAAGTTAATGTTATGGTTTAGGTTGTGTGGCATTGTAATCGTTTCTGTATATTATTAAATGCCAAAATCAACCCTTCTCTTACTTTTTAAAATCGCTTTCTTTTTGTATTTAGTCTTATGATTACATTATCCCCTATGCCGTCCTCTTTACTGTTGCTTAGTGATGTTTGCGCTCTTTAGCTACGGCAGTTAACTGTTTACTTCCGGCTGCCGTTGCCGTTCTATCAACAGCTGTTGCTTAAAGTCCCTAATATGTGACGCGACGCGGCGCTGAGCTTCTCGTCCGGTGTGCGACCCCCTTAACGTTAATTTTGTGAAACTGTAGCTGTGGTTGAATACTTGTACGACATGAAAAGATGTGTGAAATGTACATGATTTTTTATTTTTATAAAGTTACCAAAAAGGAGGACCAGCCACGTCAACTCCTTGCAAGAGACCTGCCCCTTCAAACCCTCTCCATCATAGCTTCGTCTAGTGACTCGTACAGTAACATCTGTGATAACTAATTTACTTTTAAACATGACTTCTCTTGCGGTTATTTCAGTTTAAGGAAAAACAAGCATGTAAACGCAACATTTATAGAAATCGAACTTTACCTCATCCATGACAATATAATTTTCGATTCCCGTCTGACTGATTTATCCACGGTGGAGTTGAAAACAACAGTTCCCATCATTCCGCGTTTCTCCACGTTGTCATCAAGCAAAGCCGCTGTTGTTGTTTTGAATGTAGCGCCCTCTAGCGCCATCTAAATCTTAGGTATTGTAGCTTTAAATCTCCACCCACATGCTGAACGAGTTTAGTTGTTTTAGTCTTTTAGTTTATTGATTTAATGAAACAAATTTCTTCAGGCAACTAATCAGAGTTTTGATTGTAGCTATGCATTGCAATGAATTAGCTCTGCTTTAATAAATCACTGTTTTTTAAACATAAAAAGTGCAATTTTCTTTCACAAAAAAAACACAAATTCTGTTCTGTCTGTGGAAGTGTATTGAAAAAAAATTCATACTCGTACCATGATAACTTTACATTTGTGGTGTTATCTAGCATAAGGAATTTCACTAACTATTTTCACATTCAGCAATGTCAACATGTTTAATGTATAATATGATAACGAAAACGGTTAGTGAACTAGACTGAACAATTTCAGTGTAACAGTAAGATCGTAGGAAGTAACATTACTGTACTGAATGTGTCTGGAAATGTGTATTATAAACAATATGATAGTAGCTGGATGAGTGATATTAGACAGTAGATCTCGTACATAAAATAAAAGTTGCCTCATAAAGCACCTACTTTTTGTGATCCTGGAACAGTCTTTTGTGTTCATTTCATGTCTAATATATGTTGTAGTTTACCTTGCTATTTCATTACAGTTTAGCATTATTTCACCATATCTGAAAACTTGTAATTTATCGCAATAAAAATAGATATATAATATAAAATAAACGCTCTGCCGATGTTGATTTGTGTTTTCGTCCTAAGTCGATCCGATTCACGTTTGGCCTGACTAACTTCAGCAGATACATTTTTGTTTTGTGTTTTTTATTTATGTGGACTGTGTGTTGGAGTGAAATCTCATGAGAGAACTCATACTGGAGAGAAATCGAAGCGAAAAATTCATAAGAAAAAGCGTTGCCTGAAGTTGTCTAGTATTCTTTAGTAACGCTGCAGCCGGGTTTTGCGTTTTGAATCTCCGGTGGGCGTTTTAGTGTGGACGACACAAAACGGACGACTTCAGAAACGCTGACGCTCGGCTCTATGATTGGGTGTTATTAGTCATGATGTCTCCTTCCCTGATTTGCCAACCACTGTTTACACCGGCACGCGCATGCCCAGTGTTGGTGAATGGTCACGTGATCTGCGTTTTCAGTCGTTTTAATCAGTGTTGCCAACTTAGCGACTTTGTCGCTATATTTAGCGAGTATTCAGACCCCCCTAGCGACAAATTTTCAAAAAAGCGACTAGCGACAAATCTAGCGACTTTTTCTGCGGTTATTAGAGACTTTTGGAGACTCTCTGATGTGAAATCACATATCGTTTTTCCTCATCTCAACGAGCAGCGAGTGCTGCCATGGGTCCCACCCCGTCCCAAATCACTCACAGGTGGCCCAGTCCTCGCGCAGAAGCCCCTCCCAGCTGTAGACAGAGCAGGAGATGGTCTCATCCGCGTACAAATGCAAAACAATCGCGCAAATGAGTCGTTATTTTTAGCGACTTTTCAGACACCGACTTTTTGCTTTTCTCAGCGTTGATCCGCTCAGAGATTGTGTTAAAATATTTATCTGATACAAGTAAAAACTAAACAAAATGGTGCAGAAATGTCAGAATGGGGGGCACGTTTTTCTTCATTAAAATGATTTATGTTGCACTGATCCGTTGTGTATTTGATTATGAAAAATCTCAAAAATCTTCTTAGAAAAACTCAATAAAATACAAGTTCAAGCTATGAGACACCCATTCCAGATTTACAAGTCTTAAAGGTGCTATATGTAGTTTTTAGTGGCCTCTATCTATGATGTTTCAGATTGCAACCAATTTTTACTGGAGCGCTCGATCACTCTTGTGTTCGAGCACGCTCACGGTACACGGCCACACTGAGACTTTACACACACCGGAGTAAGCATCACACAACATGCTGGAAACTCATGTAAACTCCCACTGCAACATTACAATAATAGGCTACTTTTATCAGCTTGACTGAACTAAGGCCACGTCCACACGAAGCCAGAGCTTCCCCTCTCTGATGTTTTTTTTTTCCTCATTCTAAAAAAAAGTTCGTAAACATGGCGGCGTCTCGAAAAATATCTGCATCCACACGAAACCGACTGAAAACAATGTAAGAGACATCCCAGACCAGTATATGGCGCTGTAATTCTGCCATAGAGATCCACTAAAAATGCGAGAAGAAGACTCGGGGCATGCGCATAAAACCTTGCAAAAAGGCTGTGAAATAGTATTACGCACAGTAGCTTATTTTCTTTTTTACCAATAACTATATTGAACAACCATAACTTGCCTGGTATAAAATAGGGAGTCAAGTCACGATATTCGATTAGTTAGCAGACTCGGAAAGCTTGCCACAAAGAACCGGCTAAAGTAGGCTAACAAATGTGTCAAATATAGACATTTTAATTGTTTATTAATAAACTAATGTTTTCTGTGTCATTCTTGACTGAAAAGAGGAAGTTAATGATGCTGACTCGCCACTTCGCAGTATGGTGAACGCACCTTTGGAGTAGGCTAATGCACTTCATACGGATTAGGCTATAAGAGAGAGTTATCTGTTTCTTTTCGTTTTCAATTGTTGTTTGTCGATGTTGTTTAAACGTAGACATTTAAAGATTTCTATATATTTCTGAGTTTCGGTTCATTTATGAGAGCTCCAGTTCACGAGCAATGTTATATAGCGCCGGGGCGTCCTAATTATATTTGTTTGCAATAGCCTATATTTGCTTCTTTTATTAAATCCAGGTAACTGGTTGATGAAACATTTATTAAAATTAAGATAAAATTTATAAAAAAAACTAAATTCACTTCAAACAAGGGTTTTATACAAAACAACACTTAATGTGGTCAAAATTAGGTCTCCCAATATAGCCTATTGCGCATATGCATGTGGTTCACTTTTCATAATCAACATAGATTCAATAAAAAATTAACATATTTAAATATTAAACTAAATGCATTTCTTTAATGGATATAACACATAGGCTACGCTTAACCTACAGAGGAATGTAATGTCGGAGTGGAACATTAGGGCTGCGTTTTTTGAATAGCCAAAATAATCAAATAATTCCCATCGATCGTTGAATATTATTTTTGCTTTAAATCCCCATCCCTACAAAATACGAAATGTCTTTATCAGACAACAGACCAGCACCATAGCATACGAAAGAAATAGGCCTAAAAAAAGAAAAGAAAAACCATTCAAGTAAATAATAAATAAAGGAATACAAGAGGCTCAGAAGTTTCTGCCGCATTATAGCCTATTATATTTATTATTATACAAGCAGTTTGGCAGTTGTTGTTGCTGTTACGTCACGTGACTGTCTGACTAGTCAACACGTGGGGTGATGACATCATCGTTTCACAAAATATACGGATTGGCCGTACACACGAAAACGCAAGGGTGTTGTTTTCAGATTTATCCACCCTGGGACCAAGTTTTAAAAAAAAATACTCCCCCAAAACAGCGAAACACGTCTTCGTGTGGACGGGCCGTAATGCTCCATGCTCCATGAAAACGTTACATTTGTTGTTTTATCTAGCATAAGGCATTTCACTAACTATTCGAGTATCTTTCGAATTCAGCAATGTCAACATAGGTGAATGTAATATATGATAATGAAAACAGTTAGTGAATTAGACTGAACAATTTCAGTGTAACAGTAAGATCGTACACTGTAAAAAATATTTTCAAGATTTGTTATCACAACATATTTTCTTTTGTCAAATCAACTTTATAATAATTTATTTAGTTGATAACTTACTATTTTGAGTTTGTTATGGTAAAATTAATCTACTTCATTGTGTAACTCACTTTTTCCAGTTCAATCAACTTAAAATTTTTAGGCAACCAGGTTACTTACTTTTTTAAGTTAAACCAACAATATTTTTTACAGTGTAGTGATCACAACATTTTTTCTTTCGTCAAATCAACTTAAATAATTTATTTAGTTCAGATAACTTATAATTTTGAGTTTCTGATGGTTAAATTAATCTCCTTCATTGTATTAACTCACTTTTTCCAGTTCAATGAACTTAAAATTTTAAGGCAACCCAGGTTACTTACTTTTTTAAGTTAAACCATCAATATTTTTTTACAGTGGAGGAAGTAACATTACTGTTCTGAATGTGTCTGAAAATGTGTATTATAAACAATATGATAGTAGTCGGATGAGTGATATTAGACAGTAGATACATCGTACATAAAATAAAAGTTGCATCAAAGCACCTACTTTTTGTGATCCTGGAACAGTCTTTTGTGTTCATTTCATGTCTCATATATATTGTAGTTTACCTGGCTATTTCATTACAGTTTAGCATTATTTCACCATATCTGAAAACTTGTAATTTATCACAATAAAAATAGCGGAGGTCTCTCCATAATTCAAACGCTCTGCCGATGTTGATTTGTGGTTTCGTCCTAAGTCGATCCGAATCACGTTTGGCCTGACGAACTTCAGCAGATACATTTTTGTTTTGCGTTTTTATGTGGAGTGTGTGTTGTGCTGCAGTGTGTGTGTGCTGGAGACAGGTGTGTTTTGGTGTTATAAGACTCGGTCCCGTTGCATAGACTGTAAATAAAGGAGAGAGGCTCGGCAGCGCGCATGCACGTCACATCCAAAGTATTTCGCAGAAAATCCGACCCGGAGACTTCACATAGAAATAGGAATACTGGCCTTCAGCAAAACCCCACAAGTGAATCATTGTAATCTGTGATTACAACCCCTTTACACACAGGAAATAAAAAAGGATTCATTTTAGAAGAAAAGTTACATATTGCACCTTTAAGAGAGATGCCACTAGAAATTAGAAGGAAAATATGAATGATGAATTACTGGGCTAATCTCAAAGGACAAATATGTTTTTACAGAAGTGATGGGAACAAAATAAAAGTTGTAGAATAAGCTTTGAGAAAAAAAAGAAAGTAAATACTATCATGATGAGTTGGGTTATGTAATACTTCAAGTAGATCTGAATTTGTTGGAGGCCAAAAACAGCAGACTGGCACATTAGCATGAGACTGCAGTCTTATAAAAGCACTGATGAGAGTGTTGAAAGTCTGGCTGGGGACACACAACCAGCTTAGTTCCATAATGAACAACGTCAGAGCAAATAAAAATAAAAACATGACTTGGTAAAGACATGTTCAGATAACATAAGTGGGGAAAATTCTCAATCTGTCAGCATGTGCTCTTTGTTCTCTCTGGTGCCTCCATCGGACCGGTTAACGGAGTAAAAATCACTAATTTGTTAAATTCATTATTTAGTGCTCTGAAAGACTGAACTGTGAAATATTTCTTAAATCACAATAGTCTTTGAGCCTAGAGCGTGACCTGACTAGTGATGGCTTTCAAACTTAGATGCTGATTTATTTAATGGCTCGAACAATTGGGCCGTTTCAAACTGCAAACTATCCTTGGCCGACGCCTTAAACCGTGAATAATCTCGAGTGATTGTAAGTGTGATGATCATCTGCTAAATGAGCAACAACGACCACAATTCACTCCTTCAGTCAGTGAAACTCCCACAGCCGTTCATGAGAGTTTAAATGCTGGGGAATATTCCCATCTTCCCACAGGAGAAGAAGCAAGCAGGAGGAATTACTCCAGGAGAAACTACAGACGTATTATTGTAAAGATGGAGATTAAGGAAGAACCCTGCAGAATAAAAGATGAAGATACAGAGGAACAAATAGGTTGGTGTTTTCCTTCATTCTCTTTAATCACTGATGAGGAACATAAAAGACCAATTCACACAGGCAGACGCAGATCCATGCAGTGAGCCACCAGATTACGGACATCACGATACCAAAAACTAGTAGTCTGTAGGACTGACACCACTATATGGTAAAAAAAAAAAAACATACTTAAGTTACTTGAACATTAACAACAATACTTAAACATTAAATGCTTTATGATTTTATACATATATTTTTTTAAATAAATGACAATAAACTCATCAATGTTTGCTCACTCACTTTTTTATTAGGTCATTTGTTGAAATTAAACACATTGGAAGCAGTACCATAAATAAAAACTATAGATTAAAGATTATTAAGCAATGCTGTTTATTTTCTTCAGGTATATGTCTCACAGTAGTATTCAAGTAAAAATACCACAAATACCACATAAATTGAATAATCAAATATTAAATTACTCTGCATAATCAACTGTATCATTGAAATATTAATACTTATTTAAGCTATTTTTTATTGTTTGATTATCATTATTAATGCAGCCAATAGTTTTAAAGGCTGATGTCACTTCAGACGTAATGAATGGGGACATGCTTTTACACATCCTGGTCACATTCACGTTCATGAGAGTTTAAATGCTGGCGAATATTCACATCTTCCCACAGGAGAAGCAGCTATAAACTACGGACATACTATTGTAAAGATGGAGATTAAGGAAGAACCCTGCAGATTAAAAGATGAAGATACAGAGGAGCAAATAGGTTGGTATTTTCCTTCATTCTCTTTAATGACTGATGAACATTCAGATGAAAACTCACTTACAAAATATAGACACTAGACTTAGCTGTGAAGTCTTTTTTTGTATATAAGCTCACTTATTACTGTTTGTTCATTTTTGGCTTTGATTTCAGACTCGACGGAAGTAAAAGCAGACAAACGGCAACAGTTTCAAAAACCTCAACAACTAAAAAATGGAAATGCTGCCAATTTACAGACTGAAGCGAACCGCAAACAAAAACTAGCTGAAAAGAACAGCAAACACAAACTAATTAAAGGGAACAGCAAACAAAAACAAAAACTAGCTGAAGAGAAGCGCAAACACAAACTAGCTGAAGAGAAGCGCAAACACAAACTAGCTGAAGAGAAGCGCAAACAAAAACAAAAACTAGCTGAAGAGAAGCGCAAACAAAAACAAAAGCTAGCTGAAGAGAAGCGCAAACAAAAACTAGCTGAAGAGAAGCGCAAAAAAAAACAAAAACTTGCTGAAGAGAAGCGCAAACAAAAACAAAAACTTGCTGAAGAGAACAGTAAACAAAAACAAAAGCTAGCTGACGAGAACCGCAAACACAAACTAGCTAAAGAGAAGCGCAAACAAAAACGAGCTGAAGAGAAGCGCAAACAAAAACTAGCTGAAGAGAACAGCATACACAAACTGGCTGAAGCGAACCGCAAACACAAACTAGCTGAAAAAGCTGTATACAAAGGACCTTTTCCTTGCTCTCAGTGTGGAAGGACGTTCATGCGTAAAAGAAACTTAAATGAACACATGAGGATTCACACTGGAGAAAATCTGTTCTCGTGCTCTCAGTGTGAGAGGAGTTTCGCTCTGATAGGACACTTAAACGTGCACATGAGATTTCACACCGAAGGAGAATCGTTCACCTGCTCTGAGTGTGGGAAGAGTTTCATGAAGGAAATAAGCTTACGTTTGCACATGAAATCTCACACTGGAGAAATATTCACATGCACTCAGTGTGGAAAGAGTTTCCCATCCCAAAACAAGCTCAAAGCTCATTCAATCTTTCACGCCGAAGTGAAGCCGTTTAGCTGTGATCAGTGCGATAAAACATTTTTTGTTAAATCAGGCTTAAAATCACACCTTAAAGTTCATTCTGGTGTGAGGCCTTACCTTTGTTCTGTATGTGGAAAGAGTTTTCCACATCTGCCTTATTTTCGATCGCATATGAATTTTCATAATGGTGTGAAACCTCATTTGTGCTCTTACTGCGGGAAGACCTTCACTTTGTCCAGCGACTTGAAAAAACACCAGAGGATTCACACTGGAGAGAAACCGTACAAGTGTTCACACTGTGAAAAGTGTTTCTCTCAGATAGGAGCCGTGAAATCTCATGAGAGAACTCATACTGGAGAGAAATTGAAGCGAAATATTCATAAGAAAAAGCGTTGCCTGAAGTTGTCTAGTAAAAAAAGAACTTGTTCAGATCCGTCGCTTTCAAGCAAGTAGAGTTTGATATTCTGATAAAGCAAAATATGGTATTCTTGCAGCAACAGCATCTGACGGAGAAATCTGTGTGTTCAATTCAGGGAAAATTGTTTAAAGTTGTAAATTGTGAGGAGGTCAAAATGCCTCAATTTAATAGCAATGCTTTAGTTTCTGTTGGGGAGTAAATGTAGTAAAACTAACTGAATGGTCATCAGTCTGTTAAATCTCCACCCACATGCTGAACGTGTTTAGTTGTTTTAGTCTTTTAGTTTATTGATTTAATGAACAAATTTCTTCAGGCAACTAATCAGAGTTTTGATTGCAGCTATGCATTGTAATGAATTAGCTCTGCTTTAATAAATCACTGTTTTTTTTAAACTAAAAAAGTGCAATTTTCTTCTTTCACAAAAAAAAAACAGTACAAATTTTATTTTGTCAGTGGAAAGCTGATATATAGTTAAAATATAAGAAAGATCTTCATTACAAGGTCTTGTAACAATGTGGTAAAAAAAACAATAAAAACTAAAGATTAATTCACTGAATAATTCATTAAAAAAATCAAATACATAATAAAAATCAATACGAATGTCATACAGGAAAATATTTCAAAGGGGTTTTACACTAATTTGCTGGCAACTGTTTTATTTTTTTTAGTAGTATTTCATATTGTGGTATTTCAGCGTTGATCCGCTCAGACGTGTTAAAATATTTATCTGATACAAGTAAAAACTACTAATCATGGGCATGCATCTCTGTATTCATCAAATGAGTATATATATTGATTTTAATATTTTATCTCATTAGTATAAATAGCAAATTGTCCTTAAAAGATAAAAGTGACTCTCATAACATTGTTCTTATGAATGTAAAAATTAACGTGAAGCGATAGATGTGATCTGACATTATGAGATTCTGGCGCATTAAAGTTCCAGTATAAATTACTGATTTGTTTCATATTTTCTATCTTGCAAGAGTTTCTTTATGAAGTCATGTTTATAGTTAATATTACAGATCAGATGTTCCTCTAGATGGCGCCATTTATTAATAGGAAGATGCGAGAAACAATTATTAAGGTAGAAGAATGGGCGTATTAGGGATTCAACAGTGATTAGTTGTTCCAGAAGAGAGTCTGAGTACGGAAGCCCTGAACCGCAACGCAAAAAAAAAAATGTAAAAAACATAAAACGAAAACCTAGCATTTCGAGATTAAAGTCGAAATGTTTCGAATTTCATCTTGAAAAGTTTCGAATTTAATCTCGAAACATTTCGACTTCAATCTCGAAATGCTGGATTTTTTTAACAATTTTATATATATATATATATATATATATATATATTTTTTTTTTAGATTAAAGTCAAAACTGACTGGATGGAGATATCCAGCTTTATGAATGAATGAATGAATGAGGCATTTATATAGCTCTTTCATATGTGTATTTTTTTTGGTTCAGGGCTTCTGTGTCTGAGAGATCACTGGAGAAGGTTTTTACATTTTAGGGTTTTTATTTTGATATGAAACTTGCATGGAATGAACATGTAAACAAAATAGTCCAGAAATGCCAGAATGGGGGGCACATTTTTCTTCATTAAAACAATTTATGTGGCACTGATCCGGTGTGTATTTGATTATGGTATGTGGTGGTGTATGATTTAGCCTCAAAAACCTTGTTAGCAAAACTCAATAAAATAGTTCAAGCTATGAGACACACATTCTGGATTTACAAGTCTTAAAGGTGCTATATGTAGTTTTTAGCGGCCTCTATCTGTGATGTTTCAGATTGCAACCAATTTTTACAGGAGCGCTCGTGCTCGAACACCAGTATCGGTTTTAAGGGGGGGGGGGGGTGGTTCACGTATCGCGTCTTTTTTGCACTCGAGGTCGTTAATTTAAATAGGCACACGGGAAGCGCGCTCATTAACATTTCAGCACGTTCACGCAAACACGTGGGTGTTTTTTTTTTCTCTTCTCCGTAAATAAATCTTTTAGCAGAGCTACAGCAAGCGTTTTTCTGTGGTGGAAATACATTAGCTACTAAAACTTCTTTGTCGTTGTGGTTGAGCCCAGTGCATGTTTGTACTTATAGCAACGACAGCCATGGGGAAATCGGACTGAATTTTAGTATTAATAATAAAAGATAAGCTACTGTGCATTATAAATGTCAGGAATGTATCTTTATTGACTCATTTTTTTTTAGAGATGATTTAAATGCTGAAATATGAGGTTTATCTTTTTATAAAACCTTTTTTTGTGTTAACCTTTCATTTTAAGTTTATAACATAAAAGACAGTTTACAACAAATCTTTAACGTTATTAACTTGGTGAATTGATTTCATTGTGTATTAGGGTTTTTGAACAAGATTCTGTGCATGTGATCATTTTGGCCACTATATTCATGAAATGAAAATAATTAATAATTAAAAACACATTTTAAGTTAACACAGTCAATATTCTCAGCATATACACACATTTACAGACAGCTCAAAAGATCCAGAGCGTAAGACAACTGGGGCACTTTTATAACTCCAGATCACTGAAATAAAGCGAACATATAATCATTTTGGAATCTAAATGATGGCAATACTCTTGGGTAGAGTAAAAAAAGAGAATAAACCTGTAAAATAAACCTGTTTTCATTTGTTCCGACTCCGTAATATCAGTTTTAAAGAACTTGAGATTTTTAAATCAAGCCACCAAGAGATTCTGTTTAGTATATTAAAATACATTCAGTAATCTTTCAAAATTATATCTTAGTCAGTTGTATTTGGGTTCCAGCACACATGAGGAAAGGGAAATGAGGATGTGGATAAATAAGCAAAACAGGCTTTACAAAGAGAAATAATAGAGATACAAGCTCCATTGAACAGGTCAGAAATTAAATTTTTATTTTTATCTGCAATAAAGCGATTTTTTTTTTTTTTATTTCTTTATGGTCAATTAACAAATAAAAAATATAAAAGATAAGATACAGGTAAATCAAGGAAAGAAGAGGTTATGACATTCCAATTTAAATAGCAGACTTGAAACAATATAGAGAATCATCCAAATGGGTTATATGAACAAATGTCATGTTAAAGAAATTGCCTCTGATTCTTGAATGTATCAACTATGTGCAAGAAAGGAACGAAATTATATGAGAAATGAAGAAAAATGGAAAAATTATGATCGATTAAATTGTATCCAAAAAAATTAAAGGAAGCAAATGTGCATGTGAAAAATCACACAGATAAAGGTCAATTATATTTCATTACGAAGTTTAACTTTTCAAGATCGGCTAGAATATATTGGCAGCATCTATTTAAATGAGAAACTTTCACTTTAGCGCGACGCATTTCCTGTTATCCGCCATTAGAGGCGCTCGAGCAACTGAAGCAATGACACCATATGGCAAGCCAGTATATAAGGAGCAAATATTATAGTTACTTAGATATACAGACGGATCTAAAGATGAAGAGGATAAAGTAGGAATAGGAATATATATACCAACAATAAATGTAAGTATTGGGAAAAGATTACCAGATCAAGCTTCGGTATATACAGCAGAGATGATGGCGATTATTGTAGGATTGCAGTGGGTTGAGGAAGTAAAACCAGCCAGAGTGTGTTGTGTTGATTCTGCAGCAGCCCTTTATAGTATTCAAAACATGAAATCTGATAGAGAAGATTGAATGCTTGAAATCCAACAAAGCTTATTTAGACTACAGAGACTAGGAATAGACATGAGATTTTGTTGGGTTCCTGCCCATGTAGGTATTAAAGGGAATGAGGGAGCAGATAAAATAGCTAAAAAATCAACCAGGACGAACGATATCATAAATATACCCTTTGGAAAAGGAGAAACTAAGGCGATAATCAAAAAAGAAATAATAAAGAAATGGCAGGATAGGTGGGATAAGGATAAAAGTGGAAGGAAATATTATAGCTTGCAAACATCTATTAATGTCCAGGGGGTAAATAGAAGTAACAGAAGTGAGGAGAGCGTTTTAACCAGGCTGAGATTTGACCACACAGGTTTAAATAAAACGAATCGGTTGCCTAACGTATCCTCGGTTCTCTCTAGATGAGGGAACGAGTATTGCGTAAGCTAGCTTACGCTATGGGAAAGATTCATCTTTGCTGAGAAGTTGAAGCCAAAAAATTATTCCATAATTTGTAATCATTGTCAACGCAGTATCTCTGAGGCAGACCATGAGCGGGGCTAGCTAGCAGCTCTTTGGTTCGCTCAGAGAGAATGCACGAGCCTATGGGAGAGCGGCGCTGAGCCCGCAGCCAATGAGCGGTAGGCGCTCGCTCATTGCGTCAGAGCCCGCCGAAAGGGGCGTGGCTATAGTGTATAAAACCGGCTCTCCCAGGGCTGGACGTTGATTTCTTTCAGCGTGAAGCGAAAACGCTGGTGGCGCAAGCACGGCCGGGAACGCAATACTCGTTCCCTCATCTAGAGAGAACCGAGGTTACGTTAGGTAACCGATTCGTTCTCTTACGAGAGGTTCTCTCGTATTGCGTAAGCTAGCTTACGCTACGGGAACAACTGGTCAACGCCGTACGCGCTATGTAACCACTAAGCATCCCAGGGGGGAACACCGGGGAAAAACTTAAGGTGGAAGAAGACAATAAGGCGGCCAGCATAGCGGCCGTTCTAATCTAATGCATACGCCCATAAGGTGGCCGGCATAGCGGGCCGTAATCGTATAATGCATAAGCACATAGGGGAAGCACAAGGGGCGAGCCGGTTGTGATAGGACTCCCAATAGTGCAGCTTCTTATAGGAGAGCTGTATCGTACTAGACCGCCAGTAATTTAGCCTGTAAGGCGGGGACTTCCAAGTTATAGAATCTGACAAAGGTGGACGGGGAGGCCCATCCCGCAGCCACACAAATGTTGTGAATGGAAATTCCGCAGGACCATGCCCACGATGAGGCCATGCCTCTGGTGGAATGAGCCCTGACGCCCAGCGGGCAAGGAAGTTCTTTAGAGGCATAAGCAGAGGCGATAGCGTCCACTATCCACCTAGACAGTGTCTGTTTAGAGGCGGCTAGACCCTTGGTGCGGCCGCCGAACGTCACAAACAGCTGCTCCGAGCGTCTGAACGCAGAAGCGCGTGTAGTGTACACTCTCAGAGCCCGGACCGGGCAGAGGCGATCGGCGTCACGTTCGCTATCGGATGCAGGCAGAGCCGATAGAGAAAACACTTGCGGCCTGCAGGGGGTACCAATCGCTTTTGGAACATAACCGTGTCTAGGTTTAAGAATGACAATAGAGTCATTAGGTCCAAACTCAAGACACGCGGCGCTCGAAGACAGCGGGTGAAAATGTCCCCCACGCGTTTTACTGAGGCGAGGGCAATCAGAAAAACGTTTTTTAGCGAGAGATATTTTAGATCCACGGACTCGAGTGGTTCAAACGGAGGGGCTTTCAAAGCTTCTAGAACTATAGAAAGATCCCAGACCGGCACCGTAGGGGGGCGAGGGGAGTTCATCCTTCTGGCTCCCCTGAGGAAGCGGATGATTAGCTCGTCTTTGCCCAAAGACTGGGCGCGCCGGGGTTCAGCGAACGCCGCGACGGCTGCCACGTAAACCTTTAGAGTGGATGGGGACCTGCCCTTATCCAGCATCTCCTGAAGGAAAACGAGCAAAGACGAACCTCGCACGTCCGTGGGTCCAAGTTTTTGTCGGTGCCCCATCTAGAGAACACAGACCATTTTGCAGCATAGAGCTTTCTAGTAGACTCCGCTCTGGCATGTTTGATCGTGTTCAGAACTCCTTCTGGCAAATCGACGAGTAGTCGTTGGTGTACCCATGCATGAAGCGCCCAGCGCTGTGGATGGGGATGCCAGATCGTGCCGCGAGCTTGAGTGAGGAGATCTGGTCTGATTGGAATGGGCCACGGGGCTGTCTGCGCCAGCTGCGTGAGCTCCGGGAACCAAATCAGATTCTCCCAGCGCGGGGCTATGAGTAGCACCGGGTGGCGTGTGTCCCTGATTCTCTGAATGACCTGCGCTAGCAGAGAGATCGGGGGAAAAGCATAGAGCGGGCGGCGGGGCCAATCTTGGGCTAACGCGTCCTCGCTCTTTGAAAAGAATATCGGGCAGTGAGCGTTCTCTTCTGACGCGAAAAGATCTATCTCTGTTCTGCCGAATAGGCGCCACAATGTTAGAACTGTTTGAGTGTGCAG